ATTTCCCCATGAACATCTGATATATACAAGTGTAAAGTGTATTAAAATGCAAGCAGTTGTTGTGTGAAACTAGTGTGAAACTGAAAGACCACAAGGCAAGGTGTCATCATGCAAATCAGGTCATGAATATATCAACACTAATCTCCAAGCAGATGTTTCGGTGTATAGGAAAAACAATTTATGGAAAAATCAATACACCCTGCATCTGCTTGGAGATAACATCTGCTTGGAGGTCTGGTTTAGTGTAGCCAAGAAGACTATTTGAAGATCCAGTAACTAATAGTGTCTTCTTATAGGGGTTATTTTATTATATACATGTAGCAATATTACCCAACATTTCTTTAGACCAATAAACCCCATAACATTGACTGTACATGTATCTAATTGGGGTAAAAAACCAGAATTAATTTATGTTTGTATATTGGAATCTCTGCATGACTTTGACTGTATTCTATTAGCCTGCAAACCTGTATGAAGAATGTAACTGTATACTGCAGTCTATACTTATAACATAGAACATTGACACTTATACCTAGGAACACTGTGCAGAGCAAATTCTCTAGAACATGCAAAAATTAACCTAAGGTGAAGGTGAAGATTATGATTTGTACTCCAGGATAAATCCTCATGATGCCCAAGACGTTAGCCTTGAACCCCAGAAATTCTTGACTATCTTATCTGGGTTCCACGCTGGTAGCTCCGTCGCAGGGTACATGGTTAATGGTTTGTACGCCCTTGAACATTGGCTGTCAGTGTGTATCATCCCCAGGCATTCTCCTACCTGTGATCGCTATCATTTACAGGGTTTCACTAATGACTGGCCATGTGATGGAGGGTATTCTGCATGGCTAAATGTCTTCATTACTTCTGAGGGATACAAAGCGGCGGCTGGGTTAATGGCAGCCCCGCATCGGCGTTTCATTGGGAACATGTCGGACATAATGGGTCCGAGTCAAATGGCGACAATTTCCTGAACAAAATGGGTGTCAATCCGATCACGGTGTGACAAACTGGGGCCGGTCGCGTATTCGGGAGGGAGCGGTGAATCACGGTAATGATGTCATACATCCCCATGTGGTTGAAGGGCCACCTTCTGGTAACAGAACAGCCTAACTTGACCCCATCTTTGTTTTACAATCCAGACATTGGCATCAGGTGCAAAATTATTGCATGTCCTGACATTGATTAAAGAAGATTTTCCCTGGAAACGACAAAAGTTATTGTGGGGATTGTGTGAAAAGTGCCCCCTTTTTAGAGGGCCTATGACAGCACCTAGCTCATCCTAGATTGGATGCTTTTATTACCAAACTATACAATGCTGGATCCGAACTCATTTTTTTTCTCAATGCGAGATCAAAGGGTATCATACTAGATTGTCATACTTTCCAGAGATTTCCCGGCAGAAAATAATGTAGATTCTGTACATGACATGGTTGCATAATCATGGCAAAATCAATGGTCCCCATTGCTGTCTCCTGGATGTAATGGCGGCTTCCCAATTGACTTCTGACCTCAATTTGTAAGTAAAAGACCAGTTTATCCCTGAAACCATGTGTTTAAGTCTGGTCCACTCCCTCCTATAGTCTCTACCAGACTCCAGTGGATTGTCGGGAAGTAGTAGAACTTGGGCAAATAGACTTAATAACCAAAGTGGTTGCAGAGGATTGCAAAGTGTACTCCTATGGCAAGCAAACTCCTCTAGCATATTATACAATTTGGCAAAATTCTAGTCAAGTATTATTTTCGTGGAGACACATTGGAGCCTGGTAGAGACTATCCCTTCAACTGCTTCTACATTGGAGTCATGGTTGTGGTCCAACCATAATTATTGTTCACACATTAGGTCAGTACAACATTCAATCTTTTGAATATTCAATTACCTTTGGGGGTTGGAACTATGTTAGAGGTCACCTAAGTCATAAAAGGGTACACACAGTATCCGAAAATGGACAATTTTACAAAAGGGCAATTAACCCCATTTGAAAGTTATCTTGCCCTCACTAACAGGATACCCAAAACCAATATGGCAGCCTGTTGAAAACAGCCATCACATTTTTGACCTTGAAGAAATTTGACCATGCTCAAACTTGTCAATGACTATCATGTTTTTTTACACTGAAAAAACTAACAGTGAGTAGTCAACTCCCAATAACTCACCAACTTTAGACCCATAACCATAGTGAGATAAAACTGACAGTCATTGGTCTGATTGCTTCTTAGTGATAGAATGATCCAAACAAAGATTGGCTGCATTTTACTGCAGCATACAAAATATGTGAATCGAGTTACAAATGTATTAACAGAGGCCATAAGTAACAAGTGCCAGAAATATCTCTACTGTCATTTCTTCTCAAATTTACTAATAGCATGACTACATCCTGGCAAACCAGATATTGGCAACTACTCTGATACATGACAGGAATCTTAGAGATTATAACTATTTTACATGCAGATCAAGGTCAAATGCCAGGCAGACACATCAACGTGACCTTGACAAGGCCCATTTGGTAGTAACATGTGACCTCTAAGAAACAATGGATATGTCAAGTTTCTTACTTCTTGCTGAGATTCAAAAAAGGAGCAAAAGACATTTGTCAAGTGCTTTTCCATCATAATTGTGAAGCAGCATAAAAAGCAGAACAAAACATGTTTGTGGTTACCTGTAACTGTTACAGGTCACCGGGCCACAAATGTCTGCTGCCCTCTGCCTCTAGCTCCCCTGGGCAATAAAGGTTGTTGTGCAATAAGTTATACATGCCTGCAGGGCTGGGAATGACTAGAAACATGTGGCTAAAATGTTTTGAAGCTCATTGCTAGGAACAAGTCCCTAGTTAAGGAGAAAAGTCCCCCTTCCCTGCAATAAAGGTTGATATATTACAAGGATAGTATTCTCTCTATCAATTTAAAATGATCTGAAAGAACGATCTACATTGTGCTTTCGTCTGAGATATGCGTACATTTGTGGAGATGCCTAGGAATTGCATACAATGGAATGAGATGACTCACAAAGTTCCCAAAGACAAGCTAGGAATGAGTCCATGTAAGTTTATTTTAATTGATGGACAGATACATACAGCTTGTGCTCTAAGTTATTCTGCCACACAAGTAGACGTGGGCAGCCAGTCTTGCCTACTGGTGTACAAAATGTAGTAAATCTGGGGCCATGCCAGGAGTCATACATGTACATATTAGCCTTATGGACACATTACCTTACCCTGTACAGACATGTTTTCCTCAAAGTATTGTACTAGCAAAAGCATCGTAGCTCATAGAAAAGTTGGCTTATTTCTGTTGTCTCACTTCTGAGCTTGTATGTACACATTTGCAGGAGTAACAGCATTAGACAAGGAAACCACAAGAAGTATCATACTAGCAGAAGCATCATAGCTTATAGAAAAGTTGGCATTCTGTTGGCTCATTTCAGAGTTTGTATTTACAGATTTGCAGGAATTAACAGCAGACACAGAAAACCAAAATAAAACCATGATTTTGTGAAGCTTTCTGGTCTTACACTTTTCAGAAACATCAATTAGTAGCTGTGGTGTCATAATACTGTCAATCACAGTTACACAAAAAGTTAGTTATAAAGTATAACGTTGTGTGTACGAGTGGTGTGACAGACTCAACTCACCAGGAGGCAGTTGGCTTGTCTGATATCCAGGTGTAAATGCTGTAATAATGCCATAACATGCATATGTATATCATCAAACACAGCAGGTTAATGTCTGATCTGTGATGCCTTCCAATCAGGCCCCTTCTTGTCTGTCATGTAAGTGATTAATCCAAGGCGGTGCTTATGTAATGTGCAAATTCATGTAAATAGGGAAATGCTCTGATTGCTTCCTAGTAATAGAATAATCTAAAACAAGGAAGAGTGGCTGCATTCCACTGCAGCATACAAAAATACCAGCCAATGATTGAAGATATAGAAAACATTCTAATCTTATAACATGCATTGTCCATGGGTGACTGCCAAAGCCATTCAGCCTGTAAGTTGGCCACTTCCTTTCTCTGCCCTTCATGCAGTGGGCCTGGCACCAAGCATGCTGTATGTCATGTCTTTTCCATGGAAAATCAATTGTCGCTGTCAGCTTGATTGTGCTGCACAAAATAGCTTATTGGATTTCCAGACTTCCTCCCAAACAAGGCAATTGGTTTAGTGTCTTTTCCAATGCCATAAAATAAAAGAGTGAAAAAATTAGATTAAAAAAGTAGTATTGTATTCTGTCAAACAGCATACTTATATTACTATCACAATTTCTTTGCTACCCTTTTTGAAAAAAAGAGAAATAATAAACAAAAATAACTTTGAAAAATTAAAAAAAAAGAAATAAAATAAAAATTCATGCCTTATGCAGTGCAGCAATTTTAGCAGGGGCTGTACAATTCTTTTTTAAATAAGGTGTATACTTAATCCTACCACTTACAACATACTTCACATTAGTTCCTCAATTCAACAGCATGGCTATGCCAAGCAATTCACATTATACTGTACAAAAACTTTACACAAATGATACAGATTTATCCAACTTGGACCAGTGAAATTCCCCTCAAACTCTAGCCTGTCATCCCTGTCTGACCATAGAACTCCCTTACCAGTCTACATGAGCTTTTGAAAAGCTTCATGCCATGACCACCAAACTACCTTGAGTGTATGTTATGTATGCACAGTGGGTTAGTATACTGCACACAACTTTAGTGCACGAAAGAACAAAACACCTGTAATTTTAATAGTCTCCTCCAGACTCCTTTGCAGGCTGAATAATTCGTCAAAATTGGCCTAAAGGGGAATACTGGTACAAATGTATATAATTGGCCAGCCATATAAGGACCAGTTGAACCTTCTATGGCCAGCCAACTTCCCTGGCCAATAATATCCCCTTTTTAGGCCCATTTCTACTATTTATTCAGCCTGCAAAGGACTCAAGTGGATACTAGAAGTTTAATATTCTTCCTGCCTTGGTATTCTTTTGGCAGCAAATTTGTATATAAGTTACTGAGTTTGGCAGCGAAGTGGATAAAAAGTCTCCTTTCAACATGACCAGTGTTTCATCTGGACCACTAGACTCTGTTTGCGGGGGTGTTCAGGCTTGTTGGGTTTGGAGGGAACACTGGTCTCTGTGGGTCACCAGAGGTGGGACTCGCACTGTGGCATCTTCACTACCCCGACTCCCCCTCCCAGCCTGCGATAGTTCATCCCGCCGTACATGCGCCATGTGTTCGCGTCCGGGTCGTATATTTCTATCGTTTTTAGGTACGTGGTTCCGTCAAAGCCTCCCACAGCGAGCAGCTGACCGTTCACTACCGCTAGACCCACCTAGAATGGAAGTGTGAAAGAAATTAAAATGATGACCACCGGTCTTCAGAAGTAGCTCTTGCAAAAGGCAATGTTCCAACCTATTGGGAGACTATGATCAACTGTACATCTTTACGCCTTTCAGTTTATGAGGTCTTTTTCATTCACAAATAAATGCTAACACAGATAACATTTTACCTTGCTTCAACTACTGGTATTCACAGGTTAATAATTGCTTTACATGAAAAGATAACTAATACTCAAAATCATCACATTTACGACACAATATACAGGTCATCTAGCCTTACTTACCCCACTTCTCCGTGAGCTCATAGCCACCACAGGACTCCAGGCGTTCATCCGAGGATCGTAGCACTCTGCGCTGCTCAGCTCTGTGGCGTCGTCCCGCCCACCGACCGCGTAGAGCTTGTCGTTGTAGACGGAACAGCCCAGGTGTTTCCGCCGTGTGCCCATCGGCGCTATAGGGTACCACCTGTTGGTTCTGGGGTCATATCTCTCCACTGAGGGACAGAGGAAGGGGAAGAAAATGCAAAGAAATTGTTACTAAAGCAACTGGACAGATTTCAAGTAGCCTCCACTACTGTTTGTCAGCTACTAATGGACTCTGTAGTTGAACATCTCATTTCCTGGATGTCTAACCTCCATTGATGTAAAGGAATGGAATTCACAAAAAACACAGAATCGCTTAAGTTAGCTGATGCTAAGTGTACACCATTAAACATCCCTTTACAGCTACAGATGAAGTTTCTGTACAGCTAGTTTCACAACACTTGCTCTTAAGATAGCAAAGATATACAGTAGAATTTAAGAAAAGGCAAGTTCAGTCTATGTCAGACAAGCTGAACTGTTACACATCAAGTTTCTGAACTCATTAGTATATACAACCTGATACAAATGCAGTGGTGTACAATAACACTTTTATCAGAGTACTTCCTATAATGTCTGGCCTCCTGGCCTCGTACTTTACAACTCCCGGTACTGATGATAACCAGTTAGCTCTGGCAGGGTCCCAACATCATGATTCAAGTGTTAACTGGTTATTTAACAGTGTTTCGCACCTGTGTGTAGATATAGCTCACAATTTAGATAACCTCAACTCTCAGACAGACAGAGGAAGGGCTGAACCATTGTTACCTGAGTTGAGGGGTGATGTTCCGTCTGACCCGCCGACAGCGTACAGGTAACCTCCCAACACTGCCACGGCCACGCCCAGTCTCCGGGTGCTCATGGAGGCCACCTTGGTCCACCGGTTGGACTGGGGTTCATACCTGGCGACAAAACCATGGATAACATGTACATGTCAGTCACTGATGCTACTAGTGGATTGTAGTGGATGCTACTTGAAATGTCTGACAGTTTTCAAAGTTTATTCAGCTGTTTCAGTAACAATTTCCTGTGTATCTCTTTACCTGGATGTCTTTCATCGACATAACATGTATATGTGTCAGTACTGGGCTAAATATAACTGGTCAACTAAAGTTGTGAACCCTTCATCCTCATTTGTGTCATCTACATGATCTACTTGTACCATTTCTACCGTGGCCGACAAGAACAAAATTTTACACCGCAACTTTTGGTGTTTTACACCGCAACTTTTGGTGTTTTACACTGCAACTTTGGGTGTTTTACACTGCAACTTTTGCTGTGTTTTACACTGCAACTTTTGCTGTGTTTTACACTGCAACTTTTGCTGTGTGGAAAACTTACACCCCTCCCCTTTTATAATGGACGGTCCCCCTGTCAGGTCAAAGGTGACAACGATGGCATGCAAACTACGTCGACTGAGTTATCCTTTTCGTGCATAAGGATAAGTTTTTTAGAGGAAAAGCTTGGCTACGTTGTGACGTTAGTTTTTTTCTAAAGGTTTTTCTAGCTTTGGCCTATAGACCGGGATAAATTTAAAAATGTTTCGACCAGGTCCAGTGATTACAAATTATGTTGCTTTTTGCTGCCATGCGTCACAACAAATTTATCAAGGACGTCAGATATCCAGCTCCAGACATCAACAGCAATGACATAAATTTTCTGCAGGTTAGTTCATTATTATTGGGTATGGACATCGTTTTTCTTCATTTTAATGTCCCTAGACGTCAGCTTGTGACTTGCCGCCGCCATCTTTGTCACCTTTGACCTGACAGGGGGACCGTCCATTATAAAAGGGGAGGGGTGTAAGTTTTCCACACAGCAAAAGTTGCAGTATAAAACACAGCAAAAGTTGCAGTGTAAAACACAGAAAAAGTTGCAGTGTAAAACACCAAAAGTTGCAGTGTAAAACACCAAAAGTTGCGGTGTAAAACACCAAAAGTTGCGGTGTAAAATTTTGTACTTGTCGGCCACGGTACATTTCAGATTCAAGATGAACGCAAAACATGTATTTCATATGTACATGTACCAGTACAAATTGCTGAAAACTAGTATTCAATAGATGAATATGCAGTTCCAAGTACTGTGCATGTATCTTACATTTCTTTGCAATTTTAACACTTTTCTGTTTGTCAACTATAATGGTGTATCCACAATATTAAAGCTCACCTTTCTACAATGTTGAGACAGCTGACGCCATCCTGCCCTCCCACAGCATACAGATAACCATCCAACACCGCCACACCCACACTGGTGCGACACGTGCTGGTAGGCGCCACGTCGCTCGACCACTGGTTTGTCTGAGGGTCATACCTGAAACAGGAACAGAGTCGTCATGTACTAGTATATGCCGGGTCCACGAAAAAACATGCACAGGCTGGTAAACCTAAGAATGTCTTTCCATGAATTCAGTGCAAAAATAGAATTGCTACATCGTCATGGGTATAACAGGTAGTTCGGTGTAATAATATAGCTACCTGCCGCTGTGCCATGTGCCTGCAAAGCTGGTGTGTTATGCTAAAGGGGGTTATATATTATAAGCTATACCAATACAGAGTTATAAAGCTGCGCTGTACAACCCTTGATATACGACTGACAAATGCTAACTGCACTGTACTGCCATGTAAATGATAACTGCACTGTACTAGCAGTTTCTTATGTACAAGCCGAAGTGGCTGTGCATTAGGATCTTTGAGGTTGCTCTTCAGTTATTCAGAAAAATGAAATGTTGGTCCTGATGTCTTCTTTCTTCAGTAAACTGTACATCTCTCTACAAGAAACTTTGTGAAAGAACTGCAATCTAAGTTCAAACCGACTATAAATTCGGCAGACTGGGCATTCTTATCTCTGACAGCCTGAGGTGGACAAGACAACTAAATTGCCTCCTAACAAGGGCTGATTTATCTGCACATTTACTGTGGCCATTCTTCTCCTGCAGAATCTGTCTGCACCGGCCCATCTCACCTCCTCTGATTGGAGACAATTAGGCAAATGGAGAACGGAACTATTTCTTATGGATGTCTTCCTCCAGACAGACGCAACCGGACATCATGTGAAGTGCTCACTTTCAGTTATCAGCCACCTTTACGTTTGACACGGTCATTCTTTGTGAGGGGGAGGATGCCAATGTCTGGGAAATCAGCAGTAAATAGTTGCGTAAAGCTTGGAAGTGTGGAAATCTAGCACATGTAGATGCAAACGTTGGACATTGATGATTTGGTGAGCAAGTGGACAATGCAGTTTGTTCCATCTAGACTACACATCTAGAGTGCCATATATACTGTTGCAGTGTACAGAAATCTGCATAAACAAAACCTAGGAAACTGGAAAGAAGACTATCTTCCTATTTACAGTTTCAGCCAAAGTTGCTAAACTAGCTGCCGGCTATTATGAAGGGCTACCCATAAAGTTAGCTGGAAAAGATTTTGGCCAGAGCACAAACAGGCTCACCCCCACTCTTTTAGATGCGTATCATTCTCAAGACAGCCTATTCCCTTCTCTCACCTCTCGATACTGTTAAGGATAGTTGAAAAGTCTGTTTCCAACATGACCAGTGTTTCATTTGGACCACTAGACTGTTAGCAAGGTTTTCAGGGGGCTAACAGCAACTTTTTTTAATGAATTATCATTCCCAAGAGAACCCTGTTCCCTTCCCTCACATCTCGATACTGTTCAGGGTGGTTGAAAAGTCCTTTTCAACATAACCAGTGTTTCATTTACACCAAGAGACTGTTTTAATTTTGCAGGGGTTTGTTGGGTTTGAAGGGGGCTAACACTAGTAACAGCAACTCTTTTTAGTGAATTATCATTCCCAAGACAACTCTCACCTCTCGATACTGTTCAGGTAGGATGATCCGTCATGGCCGCCCACAGCGTACAGCAGATCATCCAGCACTGCCACGCCGACGCCACATCTCCGCTTGCTCATGGAGGCCACCATGCGCCACTCGTGGGTCTGTGGGTCGTAGCGCTCCACGCTGGAGATGGCGTCCCCGCTGCACCAGCCGCCCACTGCAAGGACAGTTTCTAACGTTTATCGTTAGGTCCAGACCAGACAGACGTACGCGGTGTGGACTCCGTCACGTTGGCTGACAGTTGCCAGTAATGTACCAACACGAGCTCAATGATGAACAAGTAAATCGTAAATGTGCTCCCTGCCCGTAGGTGAGTAAGAGGATCACATTTACATATATTTGTCTCTTCCTACCTTGATATATACTGGTACCAACATGAGGTCGATGATAAACAACATGTGCTCCTTGCCCCTACATGCTAAGAAGATCACATTCATTTTTCTTTTCCTACCTTGATATGAAGAATACTACATACAGCCACTTGTGCATTCTCATATGACAAGATACTAGTAGATACTTTTCATGGACCTCAGAGGCACTCTAAAAAACAACATATTAACATACATGTACATGAACACATAAAAACGAAATAACCTTAACTTTGTTTCAACAACATAACAAATATACAAACCTAGGCTGTGTTTGTACAGATGGCTGCTAACTAGTATACAATATATCTACTTACTCATACATTCTTAATCTCAGCCTTTCCCATGTATCAGCCTCACATCTCCAGACTGTTATTGCTCTAAGTCTAACTTACACTGATGTTTGAAGCTACACAATGTACACCTATGTCATTGAGCTGACTGGACACACTGGACAAACTCTAACCAACATGACAGACGTCCACCACAAAGTACAACAACAATGGTGACAAATTCACAGAAACTCAAACTCACACCACAGCAAAGACACACAAGATGACAAAGAAACTCAAGAAAGACTGCACAAAAACCTAAGAATCACAGAAACAGCACACAGACATCTACATGTAGATCATAAACTTTGTCCCATGAATCTTGATATACTTTGCTTGAACTAGTCTTTCTTAGTGTTTTTTTTAGTGAAAAAATTATTCAAATTTCACTGGCTTCCAAAAATTCCAAACTGTTCCTTATTGGTACACTGATAAAATTTTCTAGATCACCCCTTTCTCCTGTAAGGTACTTATGCCATATCTTATAAGGAACTAAATGTGCACAAGAGATCAACACACAGACAGGACATCTGTATACGAATGGTACGTACCTGCAAAGAGCACCTCCCCACAGCGGATTGGTTTTCGTGGTCGTGTCCTTGGTCCTTGCATCAACGGTCTCTCTTGGGGCAACAGAAGGTAGTTCTTGGCTTCGTCTACAAGGTCTCGGCAAGTTTCATCGCTTTTTACAAGAAGGTCTGCACCAACGGTTCCTACTAAAAACTTGGGGCTAAGCAGTGGCAGTCTCACATGTTGTAACACCTATGGAGAGGACAACACATAGAAGCTAATGTCAATGTTGTACAATGTATGTAATTTTCTAAAAAATGTAAAATAATAACAATTCTGAGATAGGAAAATACAATGTTTGAAATTGTATCTGAAGTTACATAGGTAAGGTCTTTCACAGTTAGTTATAACTTATGCATGTGGCAACAAGTTTCCAGGCTGTTTTGGGAGCAAGATTTGTAGACTGCTGTTTGTTACAGTTCTGGTAGGAGGCACTGATTCACACACAACAATACAGTGACCTGCATACATGAACACACACTAATTGCTAGATTGTAGTAATGTTGTAAGTTAAGCTACATGCAGTAACATAGTCAAAGTTAAGTTAAAATTGGCAGGTTTTATATACATATATTTACCACCTGAAGCCTACCAATACGTACCATAGGTAACTGATTTCTTCTCTCTGGCAGGTTGTATCTGACCCACGACATGACAGCGTTATAGACCTGTTCCTCACTGCGGACATTCAGCTCATCACTGGAGATGATATCTATCAACTGATTGGCTGGCAGCAGCATGAATTCTTCACTCTCCATTACCTAAGCCAATGAAAAGAAACGTCTCAAATTCAGTTGGCAAACATGGGCTTTGTACTTTTTCAGGTACATGTAATTTGGTGTACTAAACTTCAACTTACCAGGACATGCATTGATTACAAAATACCTGCTAGATGTAGGATAATTGATATGTTCCTATGTAGTGCTCTTAACTTCTGTGTACTGCTACTGGGACTGACCCAGTCAGCTATATAAACTACCTATACCACAGTAAGTATGCTAGGCCTCAACATTTCTTCCAAACCCCAAGCTATAAACCAGCTGTGGGCGAATGCGCTGAAGTGTAGGCATGTTTGGTATTCAGGTCAGGCCTCCCTTAGAAAAGGTAGGTTTACAGTACGTATCAGCAACGTTGTTTATAAACAGGTAGCCAGCGCACACCTGCACGGTAATTGTGTTACCATATGAAAAGCATTAGCGGAAACTATGTCAGGAATTTCAGAGCAAACTAGAAAGGCCAATATTTGCTTTGGAGCAAATACAGCGATGGGTTCACCACATTTTACGACATGGCAGGGAAAGAATGGGAAACACAAGGGAAAACAATGATTTACATTGATATAACTATAATATGAAGTAAAATACAACTAAAACAACAGTTGGATAGCTATTCCCTACTTTATTGGTTAGGATTTTTAATTGCATAATGCAAACTGTTGATTTTCAAAATAAAAAAAAACGTCCATGCCCGGCATTCCAATGCTGGAGCAGGAAAGCTTGAAATACCTACCAAAACACTTGAATACAGACATACTGTCAGTATGGAAATGCTTCTGTGCAGGTGTTAATCAAGTTAAATCCCAACAGCCAATCAGCAAGAAGTATAGAGGAAAGCTGCATGCCTATTGGTTGATGCCCTGCATTCCATTCTGATGACTCATACCCAAACGTGGTAAACAAGGCAGACTAACACAGTAATACATTTGCTATAACACAGCCAAAAAACTCAAATAAAACCATTCTAAAAGCCTGTATCACAATAATTTAAAAAACGCCTAGGGGTATTTGCCCACTGTACCTCCATACCAAATTTCAGGACCTTAGGCCCTAAAATGAAGAAGCTGAATCCATTTAAAGATATGGCAGGAGGAGGAGGAGGAGGAGGAGAAGGAGAAGAAACATCAGAAAAAGCAATATGGTTTCACCACACCACTTCGTGGTGTGGTGAACCCATAACTAGTGATCCTCTTACAACCAGTTTGTATGTGTGCCATACTGTTCATAAGTGTAACATCATAAATTACACAATAAAACTCTGCTATATACGTAACCGTATACAAAATGTAGGTATGGCGTAATCAAATTTGTTGTATGGATCGTTCTTCTTTTTCTTACCTCTTGGAAATTGTGTTGTGTAAACTTATCAGCCACTCTTAACAGTTCTCTACATGCGTGAGTGTCTGCGAAGGCTCGGATGCCAAGACAGTTTGACGGGTCCAATTGTCTTTTCAGGAACTCGCAGCAGACTTCTTGGATTTCTTGCAGCTGCAGCAGACAGGCTGCGGGCAGGAGTGTTTGAACGTTGCTCTCTTCCACGGTTATCTGTGACGTGTACGCAAAGTCTATAAGCAGCTCCATGGCCCGCTCATCAATGTCCCGAATGATCACCTCCGTCTGTCGACTCTCTGCCAACTCTCCCGTAAACATGGCGTGGAAATACGGGCTGCAGGCGGCCAGGATGACGCGGTGGGCGTAGATCCGACGGTCGCCGACGATCAGCACCACGTCGCAGAGCTCGCGCCGCTTGCGTAAGGAGTTGATAGCCTCCAAGGTCTGCCTGGGGTGCTTGTCGGAGGAATACGCCATCCTGGCGCGTGGCACTTCCTCCTCCTGGGGAGTGACGGGGTGCATGTGGGCCGCCATGCCTGACAGGGGACAGTTGTCACCAGGCTGGAAAGAACAAACACAGATGTGAGAGCTGCAGAGCATGACTTTCCACACAGTTCAAGCCCCACACAATTTGACTCGTTTACTGTGATAGAACCTTTTAGACATAGAACTGCTAGAATCTTATATGGGTACAGAAGAACCAATAGTCTAAAATATCATGAAATGATGATAAAACTATTAAAAGTATAACTGTATCCAACAATTTAGAACTTCAAAGCCTGCTATCGTGCTTTAAAGAGAGGAATGAGTACCAAACCTGGAGGTGGCTTTCTTACATATCTTGATGGGTAATAATTAATCTATTATCAGTATGGCAATATCAGGAAAAAGCATGATATCTGATATCTATAATATAATCATATTACAGCTCTTGGGTTATTAGATCATGGCTGCAAAATTTATGGTCGCCTGTACTTGGTATACAATATTAATTGTGCAAGTTGGAAATAACAGATTCTCACATTCTAATCTGAAAAATATCAATTATATTGCTTTATCATCTTTGGGATGTAACCTTATACCTTTATTTCCTACAGGTCAAGAAAAATGTTTTATTTGCACCAAAGCTGTCTTCTTGGGATTTGCAGCAAATCAAGTAAGCAGGAATTTGGTTTATTGTCTATCACGCAACAGTATCAAAGTTATCATATTCTGTAAAACGCTGGTTTTGAAGAGTAAAATTGACTTTCCTAGATATTCTACTTGACATTCTAGCAGACACAAACAAACATGGCGTTCGGCTTGAAATTTTTGGCCCAGAACACGTCCCTAAAAAACACTTTGAATTTCAATGTCCGTTATTATGCCACTCTGACGGTGTTCACACATATTCTCTGCGTACTTGTACACCGAGAAAACAACAATTCTTACCTGTAAAACGTGAAATTTTAGGAGAAATTTGTCTCCGAAATCTGTAGTCTGTACAAAGCGTACCTTTCCGGAAACTGCAATGCTTTATGGGATATCCATCCGGGCACTCGATCATTTTCAGACCTGTTCTCCCCCGTTTCAAAAAGTGGAATCGTCCGTCGTGACGTCACGCCGTTGCTACAACTAAAAAGTTGGAGACTTGTCTGGGACATTTTCGGAAAAGTTGCAGGACTTTTCTCCCGGTTTTGCAATATTTTTACAACATAAGTGCACCCGTATACGCCTGTATCTTCATTTTTTAGCTGATAAAGTTTAGTTTGAGCCATGACGGCGGCCCAAGAAGAAGAAAACCAAGAGTCGGAGGAGCCCGCCCCCCCTCCTCCCGATCTGAGTATCAACCTGGCCATGGCAGCCGCCCTGAGCGGGGAGGTGTCGCGGTTGTGCCGGGCTTTGGACGACGAAGAAGACCCTTACCATCCACAGATCCAGGTAGGACACACACGGGGCATCGATGCTGATAGATATCCTGTCGGTTGGTCTTTTGTTTTGACGCATCTATATTAATTTAACCCTGGAGACGGAGGTATAACTGTAACAGGGCTTTAATTGACTAACTTGGTCCCCAAGGATTCCATCATTATATGTTACCCTTTCTCTTCTTATATGAATACGACAAATACTTCCTTCTTTAATGAAGTCCATTGTAGAAAAGGAGTGTATTTGTTTTTGTACCCATTGAGAAAGAAAAAACAAACTATTGTACATTGTATTTGGATAAGTTGTCCGAAAAAAAATTCCATCGACAAAGTATGAAACAGAACTTCACACTGTTTGTTTCCATCCATTAAGGTTAGTTATATGCCACAGTAAGAACAACATTCAGTACAAAATTTTAATCCAATTTTTTCCTTCTGTCAGGAACGACTGAATGAGAGAGACTTGGAAGGGAAGTCTCCGCTGGACATGGCCTCCATGTTGGGGAGAGACAACGTGGTGAAGGAGCTGCTGGTACGAGGGGCTGATCCAAACATCGCAACACCCAGGGGTGAGAGTCGGACAAATTCATCTATCACCTACAAAACTTATCCACCTGGAAGAAAACTTTATTTCAGGGCGGCAAAATGAAAATATTCTGGATGTGTCTGCTATTGACATTTACTGCCATTTACTGCATATTTTCTTCATCATTTCATACTTGAAGAATGCACATGTAGTCCAAAACAACCTGCTTGAGGAACCCCTTTATTTTTTTGGAACTGCCAACAAATAGCTAGAACAAATCCACGATATTAAAAAAGAAAGGATTGTGGCCTTCTATGAATCAGTTCAACCCACATTTTTGTCATTTGGTATTTCTGGAGCAGCCCCTTGGTTTAACAGACCTTGTTTCTCCCCAGGTTACACCGCGCTCCACCGGGCAGCATCCTGGGGCAAGCTGGGGTGTCTGAAGATCCTGGTACAGTTCCAGGCCGACCTTCAGAAGAAGTCGCACCACGGCGAGCGGGCGAGGGAGATCGCCGTCAGATACGGGATGGACGACTGCGTACAGTATCTAGATAGACAAGGTGAGGAAACTGTATCATGTATAATGTTACACGTTTTATACACAGTTAGATCTGGTGAAATATACTGGTATATATATTTTGTAAAGCACTTTTTTTCTGTCAAACTTATTAGATTGCATGTACTAGTATTCCCTTATTCTCCAAATAAGCAGTGGCGCAAGCAGCATAAGGACATAAGAAATGACTCTGAAGTCTTGATATAAAATATATGTTCCTTCTGCCTACACAGAAGCGAGACAAACGTTGAAATCTTACGTTGCGTCGATGAGGGAAACCCTGGCAGACCCTGAGAAGATGGGAGCAGCAAAGCTAACCAAGGAAGAAAAAGTAAGAACGTTTCAACTTTACTGAATGATTGGGATGATATCATTACTTAGCATATCAGATGTAACATTCTTTTTATTTGTTTTGTTTTGTTATTTGTACTAGGATTTATTGTGACCCACTAATTTCTAATCTCTTTTGTAACCAATGTCATTGACATGTTCATGATGTTGATTTCCTGCAGTCATCCACGAATGCGGCTCTGACAGAAAAGGAGCAGTGGTTAGAGAACACCACCGACGCTTCCGTTCAGGACTATCTGGACAAGAAGAACGAACTAGAACAACAGATGGAAACTGTCATGCTGAAAATCTCAGGCCAGGGTAGGAGGGTGCTTACTGTGGTGTCAACTTTTGCCTTCATCCTGCTGCGTACTCACTATAACCAATACAATACAATGTACAAATTTGGTGCCAAATGGCTACCTTAGCAGGGTGAAGGTTAAAAAAAGCTTACTTTGTGTAGTTTTTAGGAACAAGATGTAAACCTTTGGATCCATCTTGTGAAAGATAAGTTACAGCAACATTGAAGTCAGTCTTTTTAGGTACATGTATTATACTTCTGAAGTGATTGTAGTAAATGTTAAGTTAAGTATGAAACATTAACTGTCAAGTTTCACAATTTTTCAAATCACCAATGTCAAACTGTTTTGCTTCTTTTTCAGCACCTGAAACTCCAGCAGGCAAGAAGTAAAGGGCTGGATGATGTGCTCCTTCTGAGAACGACTTTTTAAGGAGTTGGATTGACTAAGAGATTTTAGGGTTCAATATCAACTTCCTACTGTTGTAGCTGATACTGTGATAGTAACAGACACATCTGATTGTCCAAAGAGTTTGTACTAAGTAACAGTAAACAGTGCTTCATCGTGATGGATAAAATAAGGTCTGTCCTAGTATGACCTGTCATCACCCAATGAGAAAAAAACAACATTGGGGGTTGCAAGAAGACAGTTATCTTTGCACTCAGGTGTCATCGTGCCAGGAAATTTTTTTTTACAAAATTATTCAGAAGCAATATTTGCACTGTGAAAGGGACACAGTAGTCACCTACTAAACAAGCTGTTTTGTTGTTTGAGATGTTGTATATATTCCTTATGTACTGATTTTATATAAATCTACCCAGCCACTAGATTTTTAAAGAGGATGCTGGAACATGCAGTACTTTTATATCCACAGCAAAACACCTATGGACACTTTCAACATGTATATACATGGTGAATCTCCGAATTTCACCACATCTGCCAAATGAATAATTCCTAATATTATTACATACTTTGGGTGCACAATGTGGAAAAAATTATGACCACTGTTTATGTCATAGTTGGATTCCAATAAATGTATTCAGCAATACAATATTAGTATTCATTTACTTATTTAGAGCAGGATATGTTTTGATAAAGTTAACAAATTATGGGCACACAACGATCCAAAAATATTACTGCAGTAAAAATCCGTCAGGGAGCTGCAAGTATTTCAAGAACCGCTAGATGTCCCCACTGCCAGGTAACGAAAGAACTACGACAGCAACAGCTGATTTCTTAGATTTAGTGTTGATAGATTTAGCTCTGTTGTGGCACAATGTTACACAGTCTGAGGAAACAGTGTTTTCTATTAAAAGTATACACATTTTCGATATTTGTGGTCTTCTATAGCCTGGTATCCAGTCTGATCGTGGTCGGGGCCGTAAGAGCTCGGGGCCGTAAGAGCTCTGGCCCGGTCGCCCGCCTCACATAGGTTTCCCGGTATGTATTTCACGAGAGATTAATTAGCCCTCCACGAATCGTGTTGGGGGGAAACCAAATCCCCAAGCATACTGTCTCTGATTAGCGTAACACTCCTACCGGGACGGTCTGTTGCACTGGGCGGGGGAAGCTCTTAGAGCCCCCGAAGACACAACCTGCCTGAACACCCCAATACCCCAATCACGATCAGACTGGATACCAGGCTAGGTCTTCTAATAATGATTTGAATGTAGAATATTTTACTGAACTGTTCCCGAATGGTGTCCGATCCGGGGTTATCCGAGGTAACGCTAAATGCACATCCCCCACCAAACAATCCCCCGTTCTAGAACATCTTTTTTCCTGAAATTTGAACCTGGCAACGGTTCCAGAGTAAATCCGTAGTCCCAGGGGACGGGGCAGGACGTTGCAAGACTGTACTCCACACCGATCGGCCAGACATGATATATAGTGTTGTAGAAAACACCAAAGTCTGAGATTTTGTGTCTATTGTAAATACCGTACATCTACCAACTCTTACCAGGATAGCACAATCAGCACCAAGGACGCCGTCAGTTTTTCGTAGCCTGAGGGAGCTAACTTTGGGAGCTAAAATAGGTTTCCTAACCAGGCTAGTTTGGAGGATCAAAGGAAAGGTAGATACATGTAATGTTTCAACCAAATTACACTTAGATAAACTTAATAACTCAAACTTAAATGTGATCTGTACCGAATGCTCAATAACATGGAAGCTAAGGCTCTATGTTACAGGGCCTGAAACCTGCGCGCTTCAGAGTTGAATCGCTAAAAGCTGATTTTCGATGGGGCCCAGCATACCTGTAACGTTACGTACACAGGACAAGGCATGATTACTCTAGCACATTTGCCAAGAAGTCCTTCAAAACATTTACTAGTAAATTCAACCCTTTGTGACAGAAAAGTGGAATCTTCCTATTGTCTGTAACAACAGAGGGCGTGGTCACATGACGATGTCGTCATAAGCAAGATGGCTGAAGTGAAGCTTGTTGTGATAGTTTCAGCGTTTGTTGTTTTGGTGTCTGCTCTGCCCTCCTTCGCCACTTTCCTGGGTCCAACGCAACGAAAAGTGAGAGCTTAAGTTTTCTGTTATGATTTGGTGTAGTTATAAACTAGCACCGCGCTGTACTAACGTATTAGACGACGTTGATCATTTATGTAGCTGTGTTGTAATTTGTGATCACCTGAATAAACAAACTCCTATAGCTCTTGATCAAACAAAGGAAGTCTGTGAATGAAAACAAAATGCTCCATAATTGAACGATCATGATTTGAAGTTTATTGGCATAATGCATTTCTATTGGGTGGTCAACGGTGCATAAAACAGCAATCTTTGTCCTGAATGCAGGTTAGATAACCTTATAAGACAATAATCTCCCTGTTTATCTTGAACCCAACTGTATTTTGATAATCATGAGCTGTTTGATTTTTCCATCACATTTCAACGGAAAATCAATTGATCAAACAAATTGATGCATGATCAAGGTAAGAAAGAAATAAGAAATTGTGTTAATTGCTGATGCACAATTAATTGCTGATGACAATACACATAACAATTCATTGAGAGTTTTTCTTTCATTTTAGGTCAGTCCATTACTGTTGGAGGAGCAGGTAATATGGCTTGCCGGCGGGGGCCAGGGCGGCGTGAGTTCGTACCGGATCCCGCTGCTGTCCCGCACGCCAAGAGGTCACCTGGTCGCCGTGTGTGAAGCCAGGAAGTACAATGCTGGTGATGCCGGGGAAAAATTCCTGGCCATCCGCAGGTCAGAGGATAAAGGTGAGAGGTTACTTTGACCATGACCTTGTCATTACCTTATCGTCTGATGCAGCGGGAAGGTTTGTTGACTGGGGGTCATGTGGAGTAACGGTAGAGCATTCGGCTCTGAACCAAGAGGTTCTGGCTTCGAATCCTGCCAAGTCACCGACCTTGTGCCCTAGGCCTTGGGAAAGGCACTTAAACCGACTTTCCTGACTTCACTCAGGTGAAAATGAGTATGCCAGAGTAATCATTGTCATGATCGTGGGCAACCAAACCAAAAGTCAAACTTTCAAAGAAAAAGAATTGAAGACTGTTTTATTTTGTCTATATGAAAAAAAATTTTGAAAGAAGTATATGACATCAGGATTGCTGTGTTGATTTCACACTGCTAATCAATAACGCCAATTGGTATTTAACATTTTTATGATTAAAATCATTCTATAGGTATGACATGGCAGCCTCTAGGATATGTGTTAGATGACGGCACCTACTTTGACGGTATCGGGCTGGGCTCAATTCTCGTGGACGAAGAGACAGCAACCATGTTTATCTTCTACTCCCACTGCCCGCACTTCGAGAAGTGCACGTTTTCCACGACGTACGTGGTGAACAGTACAGACGATGGGAAAACCTGGGGACAGCCGGTGAACATCACAGGCATGATTGGCATGCACGGCAGGGAGTTTGAAACAGGACCGGGGTTTGGCATACAGGTAAACTGATTAAAGGCAGGGTGCTTAGAACCAAAATATATATTCTATGTTGGTTGTAGATATTGCCATAGAAACCTATCTCTTTCAGCTGCAATATATCTATTTTTAGCCATGATCTTTCTGTGCTTTTTTTTCTCAGTCAGTATAATGTTGTCCTTGCTGCTGACATTGTAATACATGTCTGTTTTTTACTTCTTTTGAAGCACAGCTTTTGCAGGTTTTACTTCAAGTTCAAGTACTCAGCTTCTTAAAAAGTATGTAGATTGCAGTGTTTTGGGATAAGGTGCTTGGCATTCAGGCCTCAAACATTCTTTTTTTTTTTTTAAATATTTGACCATAGGAGCTGTGAAAAAGTTTCTAACTATTTAAAAGAAAGTAGATGCAGGAAGATCACAAATCTTGCCAAAGTAAAAAGAAATTGTGCCACTGTGATACCTGACCCCCAAAACACTGCAGTCTCATACATGTAACATGTCTTTACTCCATGTTTGATTTCCAGAAAAAGCATGCTCCCTACCAAGGCCGTTTGGTCACATGTGGCCACTCACATCCAAAACACGGCAGGATGGTCAGTTGTGCCTACAGCGATGACCACGGGAGAACGTGGGCTGCCGGACAGGCGCTACTGTCTATTCCCTTCACCGGCAAGCATGAAGTTGGAGACTTTGTCCCTGGAGAGACAGAGGTAGATATGACTGCTTGTTCTTCCCTTTCTTTGTAGAAAAAGTACCCACCGTATAAAGGCCGACTTTTTACCTGCGGGCACGGCACGCTCCCGGCGGACGGGGTCTTCTGCATAGCGAGTGACGACCACGGGAAGACTTGGCGGAGCGTCTCGGCCATGACTGGCATTCCTTACAATCAGGCCAAAAGGACGGGCGATTTTGATCCAGATGAGAGCCAGGTATCGACTTTATTTCTTGCTTTTACTTGGAAAAGTTAGAGCCACACAAGGGGAGACTGGTGTCCTGAGGACATTCCTCACTAAGTACTGTAAATACTTTATATTCGTGGTAGCAAAATTGCGTGGTCTGAGAAAAATGGACGTGTTCGTGGAACTATATGTTCGTGGCGGCAGGTGCTCGTGGTAATAGTAAATTTGTCGTACAGAAGTGACCATGATAGCTGTGAATATAAAAGTGCCATGAAAAAATTTTGATGTATAGTAAATGATTGCACTTTTTCCACAGTACACCATCTAATGGTAACATCTTTTCCTGCTCTTGCCCCCAGCTTGTAGAACTACCAGACGGCTCCATAGTGATCAACGCCAGGAACCAGTACCACTACCACTGTCGCTGCCGTATCGTGTTCCGCAGTTTTGATGGCGGCGAGACGTTTCCCTTGCAGCACCTGTACTTTGATGAGACCCTGGTGGACTCTGCGGTGGCTGCTGGGCTGTACTACCACGACGGAGTCATGTTTTTCAGTAATCCGGCCAATGACAAGTCAAGTAAGGCTGTTTATATACAGGACTTTGTGGTCTGTTAATAGTTTCATCAGGTTGGCAAGAGATCTTTTAAGAGTATACATAGGTTCTTCATTCAACAACCAGAGGTTTTCACATCTGATGTTTTGATGACCATTGTGTAGAAACCAGAACCAGTCATTGTTGTCCTGAAGAAGGTGACAGATGGTCATGGAAACATTGGATGTGAAAACCCCACTGTCTTTTGAACTATCCTTTCTTATACAGGACTCTTTTATACTTTTCATTTGGATTGCGTACCAGGACGTACCCCTAGTCTTGTTGACAACTGGGGTATTTATGCAACACAACTAGGTTTGTATAATTGGCTTCACATTTCTGTTTCAGGAGAGGACATGACTCTACGTTGGAGTTACGACAATGGCACAACCTGGGCTGGGTCGTACCAAGTCTGGCCTAATGCTGCAGCCTACTCCACCCTCATGATGCTTCATACAGACACTGAGGACAGTAAATACATCTATCTTCTGTACGAGAAGGGACAGAAAAATGCCTACTCCACCATCTCTCTGGCAAAAATCAGTATATATGGAGAGCTATGATGAATGTTGTCCTTTAATCGTTGTTAGTGTGAGAATATGATATAATGGTGAATTGTGAAATAATCATGAGTCTTAGATGACCAAATTCATCAAATTCTACAAGTTATAGCCATTTTTAACGATATTTGCCACCACGTAAGAGTGCAATAATCTAAGGTCTTACATGCACTACATGCAGTATTCATGTATTTTTTAATGATTGTGTTATTCACTATCTATTATTTGTAGAAGTCACATATGGTGATGGTTCATATATAACATTGCAGTATGTAAAATCATACACTTAAAGTTTAAACTGTACATATATGTATGTACAAAATGTAGTGATTACATGTACATTGTATTTCTACAGTACAGTGTATTTTGATAACTCGGTGGAGGACCAAAGTGTTAAACAAGGACTTTTATTCAGGATATTTCTTTTAAACTTTCTTTTGGAAGTGCACTTATGATGCCAATGCTGCTTTTTATCGAACAGAGAAAATATGACTGTATAAAACACATGAAACCGTGTTCTTTGTCACTTACTTGTGTATGACATCCTTATTATTTGTGTACATGTACTTAGATAAAGACAGGACAAAGAATGCTGAAAACTTGAAAATTTGTATTGATCTCCAGCACTGTAAGCTCCTTGATATAAATCTATATAACATTTGGTGCCTAACAGCACCCACATAGCCTGAGTGCCATTCTGGTTAGTTTACAATGGCTCCCAAACTTACAAAGTTGTATATATACCTGTATTGCTAACATTAATCTCTTTGTACATGAATATACACTCAAATGCTTAGATCCTTTAAATTAAATTTTACAATCTCAATTCTTTCTATAAAACAATTAATAGAAACAACACTTTGGTGGGTACAGACACTACTGTACAACAGTGTCAGAAAAACAACTGGCCCCATAGACATACATCATACAACTATTTCAACTCTTTGTGATTAAGATTGCGAGCTGGCAATTTTCAATCAATGATGAAATCTCAGTAAGATTGAAATTAAGCATCAATGTACTAAGTACAGTACAGTTGAAAGTACACAAACTTACAGATGCCTGTATATTGCTCAGGTGTCTGGCAAATTTTATGGCACCTTATGTTGTTTAAAATCAATTCGATAATACAAAATCCTCTACATGATGCAGTTTTCATGGCTATAATCCAGTACTGAAATACTCTATATACATACATTTTCTACATGTAATCCATGTAGTATGTAAGAAAAATTACATCCTTACTTATCTTGTATGGCAACTATTTTTTTCTTTGCTTGGTGGATCTTGTGCATAGGTTTAAGACTTCATATGCAGCTAAACATGAAATTTACCACCTGAAAGCAACAAAGCAGTACGTCACAAACAAATCTACTGCACAGTGCCAACAGACTGGGATTGATATTTAGAAGAGATGGTGGAAAAAATCCAGAATGCAAAGCAGAGTCTTAGCAACACAAGGTAACGGAGGTCCGCTGTTGTGTGGTACATGTATGTGTGGAGTGAGTTGTAGTTGTAATTGCACTTGTGACACATGTTATTGAATATTCACTGAATATTCCCTGAATATCTTTAACGTGATATGCAATAAAATCCTGGACATTGACCTTTAGCACACTAAAGTAGCCATTTGGCTACCAATTCTCTAGTGGTTACAGGGTTAGGCAGCAGGGAGAAGGTTAAACATGGATATATCTGTTCATAATCTCTGAGTTTCCTCATAGGTTGCCATACAAACTTATCTTCACCAAGGAAATACTTTCTGCTGAACTCTTCACTCCCTTTTCATACAGCAGGTACAGATGTTGCTGGTCGTCCATGTCGTTAGTGGGCAGCATCATGAGTGTGGAGTATGCGGCAGGTTTGTCCCAGATGGGCAGCGCTCCCGGCCATGTCGTACCGTTGTCGTAACTCCACCTCAACATCATGTTCTCACCTGGGAGGAACACAAGAGAAACACACGGCTCAGTCTCTTGGGCTGGGAATAAATTAATGGCTTAATCTTTGGGCACAACACCTTTACATCTCTTACATGCCTTAAGCATAAAAATGACAGACAAAAAAAATGCCTTGATGTTGCAGACCACATTTGGTTCAGAGCAATTCTTGAGATGGCAAGAACACGGAAGGACAAGAACTTCCAACAAGGAAGTTTGCAGGAAAACTAGGACAACCCAGTTTGTCTACTCTGGCCTGCAGTATGCAGTATGGTGGTCTGGCCGCATTGCAAGAATGCTAAGAACACGACACCCTTCAGTGACATTGAACTGGAACCCAAGGGAAACAGTCATGAGAGACCTAGAGATGGGTTTCACTTGGGAGGGAGCAAGAAGGAAGCACTGGACAGAAGAGAGTGGAAAGCAGTGGTGAAATGGATCCTTGAGCAACAATGACAATGATGATTATGCTTAAGAACAGCTACTGACGATGTCTAGCAGTATTTGTAAAGCACATAGAGATGACGGAAGAACAGCTACTTACGATGGACCTCAGAAGCAGTGTTGCTGAAGTACATGACCCCGTTGTGGTAGAACACGCCTGCGGCAACGGCCGGGTCGATCAGGGTCTCGTCGAAGTACAGATGCTCCAGGGGGAAGGTCTCCCCGCCGTCGTAACTCCTCATGATGATGCGGCAGTGGCAGTGGTACAGGTACTGGTTCCTGGCGTTCACTATGATAGAGCCATCCGGGAGCTCCACTGGCTAATGAGAGACGTACAAAATGGAAAATCTGCTATCAGGAGGATTTGCAATACACTGTATTTCATTACAATATGGAATTGGATTGTGAGCTCCACTGGCTATGGAAAATGTACAAAATAGACTATCGGTCATCAGGAGGATTTGCAAGATGCTGTATTTCATTTACAATATGGAGTCAAAAGATCCATTGAATCATGTTCAGTGTAATCAGCGGGACTACAAAGTAACTCAGCACTAGGTTTTGGGTTTGTAACAGTCTAGGAAGACATACCAGTATTTCAGAAGGAAAAATTGTTCAATATTCAATACAAAGAGGAAAAAGAAAACAGTTGAAGCATTTGATTCAATAACTGCTGGGAAGACAGATGCACAAACAAGGCAAAGTTTCTTTAAAGTAAACATATGACAATTATGACAGTAAAAAGAGACAGAGAATGTGTGAAAACTAGCCAACTGCTGCCAACCCCTGTGTCAGGGACCCCACAGCAGTATAACCAAATACAGGATACTAGTACTACAGAAAGAAAGATGGGGAGGTTTGTATGTCCTGGGTTGTACCTGGTTCTCATCTGGGTCAAAATCCCCCCTTTTCTTGGACTGCTTGTAGGGAATACTCTTCATGACTCCGCTGTACCTCCAGTGGGCACCGTGGTCATCGCTTATCAAGCAAAACACACCGTCACCAGCCAACGTGCCGTGGCCACACGTAAGCAGCCTGCCTTTGTTGGGGGCGTACCTTTTCTGCAGGGAAGGAAAAACGTAAGACAACACGTTTAAAAGATGTCTACCTGAGGTTCCCCTGGACAGAAGTCTCCCGTCTTCTTGCGCTGGCCGTACGGGATGCTCTTGACTGCGTCGTACTTGGACCAGTTTTTCCCGTGATTGTCGCTGACTAGACAGGAGATGGCGTTCAGGTTCAGTGTGGAGTGCCCACATGTCAGAAGCCTCCCCTTGTGAGGAGCATACTTTTTCTAAAAAAGTCACAGAAGGGACAGTTAAAAGAGCACAAAAATTTACAGAATGCTTTTTTATCAGTCTGGTAACAGGGGCTAGAAGGCTCCTGCTTTACTGACCTATGGCAAAGCAATCACTTTTGAAGAATAGAAATGGTACTGACAGAACAGCTCAATCAACTCAACAGCTACTGACTTGTCTTTCATGAGGACAGATCATAGAGAATTACTACTTTTTCCTACTTAAGGAATACATATAGTTTGTAGAAGTCAATGTACAAGTGTTTTAACTTGGCTGAGGTCTGAGAGATAAACCTACACATACATGTACATGAACTGATAACAGAGACATTTTAAATAGAAGTAAAAGGCAACAAATAAAAAACGCAACAAAGAAAGATAAAAATGCTTTTGTGTTGACCAACCTGAATACCGTATCCAGGTCCTGGTGCAAACATCATGGTACCAATCTCCTCTGAGAGATTTCTGGGATGACTCCAGGACTTGCCCTCATCCTTACTGCTGACCAGGTAGGTTGTCGACACCTTACACTCATAGTAATGTGCACAGTGGGTGTAGAAAATGAAGATCTCGTTGGTGATTTCGTCCACCAGGATGGTGCCCAGGTTCATCCCATCCTGGAAGGAGCCATCATTCAGGACATAGTCCATCTCTGACCAGGTGAAACCTGCATGACAAGGAGGAAGAAACACAAATACTGGTAAGAGTACTATAATCTTGTTTTGACTGTTGAATTATAAGCAGGGTTCTTTCCTTCTTCATTTTAAGACAATACATACATTGTATGATTGATGAGAAGTTAGCAACTACAGTGTATTTTTACTTTAAATTACATATCTGATATGTATAGATGCTTTTGTATGCCAGAAGAGTATCAATATACATTGCTAACTAAATAACAAATAATGAAAAGTAGTCTGACCTTTGTCCTCTGACCTCCTGATGGCCATGAACTTTGGCCCTGAGTCACCCGAGCTGAACTGCCTGGCCTCCACTACTGTAATCAGGTTTCCTTTGGGAGTGCCCACCATGATGGGGATCCTGTGGGGAAGTGTAACAGTGAGCTTTCAAGTGCTACATGTACCAACTGACTCCTCTGACAGGCGCTGGACATTTGGCCTAGATGTTTAGGGCGTTGACTTGAGCTGGTAGCCCGGATTACATGTACCTTTTTATTATATACTGTGTAATACTAGTAATGCCATTTGAATTGGACAGCTGATAGCTGCAAGGTAAGTGTAGGATACGTGCTTTGGGCTTTAATATCCATAAAAATGGATACAAAACCAGAAATCAGTACATTATTGCACACTGAACCCACCTGTATGTGTGGACCTCTCCCCATGTGCCGCCTACGTACAAAAGTTGCTCCTCAACTATAAGGGGTGAAACCTGGAGGAGGAAAGAAGTACAAAAGACGTTTTCCCCACAAGCAAACGGATCGATCAGTTTTGTTTGTCATTCGACATTGTTACTGCTTCTAGCCTGTGTATACAAGCTCTCGGCTGGAGGTTAATGACCCCCACGGCAACCTAGGGCGGCGGCCGCCAGGAGCGCGATTAGTCAGGCTATTACTGCTTCCTGTTGATCATGAATACAGTGCACCTGTCTTTTAGCATTAGTGGACGTCCCCTTCAGTAAATCATGTAGACACCGAAATTCCCGTAAACCCACGATGTAAAAGGTTAACAATCTGTTCTTTTCTAATTTTTGTCGAAGAAACTGTGTTACACAACTTCAACTCGTCTCTTTATATTTTTGGGTGACGTCCTGGCTGTACCGTTATGTCAACATACGAAACGTTATCCAAACATCATACGTTCAGAAAGTCCAAGACCATACACGATTTTAAGACACTTTAGCTTTAAGATTTTAGCCAATGTTTCAGAGGTAACGTAAGGAAAGTAAAGGCGAGGATATCGCAGACCGCCGGTACAACAAGATCAAGCCTTTGTTTACATGGGATCTAGTGATCTCTGACTTGATCGACGACGTAACACAATTTTAGAGACATCTATGACAGTCTACTCAGCATTAGGTCTACCAAACGTTCAACACAGAAGCTAACAATAGTCCTCTTACCGGGCTAGGCTGTTGGCTGCTCCCATGTTGGCATAAACCCAGGAGAAATACGGACAATACTGCAACAAATGTTGTTCTTCCGTCCGCCATGTTGTCGTCTTATGACAAAATGTCATGTGATTCCGTCAGGACCATACCACTAAAATGGGAGGGGCTTCAGCACTGAACAATGCCATGAAAGTCACATGTGTTTGTTTTACTCGGGCAAAAGTGGATCAAAATCGATTTTATCATGTTCCCATGCATTCTTTTCCCATCGATCTGTATTGTAATCTGAAATATTTGCTTAGAGTCAATCAACAAGTTATAGATTACATCCCCATCAATTACAAACCAGCTGCAAAGTGATCGAAACTATGGGGGTAACGTGAATGGATAAGTTGTAATGGGCAAATAAGCGAAAAATGGCAATGAGTGAATGGGAAAGTGTAGAGGAATGTGTTTATTGGTCCACATGTCCATATGGATGGCCTAATAGTCAGTTTAATACAGCGAACAATCTACTACTAATGCCGCTAAGTACTGTAAATGTGTTAACGTTATAACATAACGTTATGTTAAGACTTAGCCTGTTCTTTCCAATTTCCTGACTCATCTGTATCATCTGTGCAACTTCCTTCCATTGCTGGTCCCTTAACATACAAGACATCAGAGGTCTCAGCCACAACGATTTCGCGTGGCAGGAGATCACGCTCACGATGGACCTGTCCTTGGTGCTGACTGCACTGTCGAGTCTATGCAACACTGGGAATCGAGAAGACAATCTATCTAACGTTACGCCGTCCACTAGCGTACATGCTTTCAACAATAACCGTCAGTCTACGAAGGCGATGTCAAATTGATGCACAAGCCAAGATACTAGTAATGATAAGATTTCTCCACTCTGTTCAGGGACTTTCTAGCCTGAGTACCATCCGGAAAAATCATTTCTAGCGTAGCGTAGCAAAGTCCGGATGGCTATGGATTTTCATAACACAGACATTATTCTGGAACATTTATTAACGTAAACGTAAACCTTGTGACGCTGTTCTAATTATGACGTCACAACATGGAAGGGAGAAACAAGACGCCGGTGCAGGTAACCACGATCACACTTTGTGGAGCCACTTGGAGACCCAGGCTGAGCGTCTCTCGTTCCGGAACGCCCACTAGCAACGCCAAAAACAAGATGGCAAACGTGTTCACCCGCCGGAGTCGGCTTCCCCGCAACATCACCTTCACAGACCACGGGCCGGTCAACACCCAGCCCCGCCTCATCCCCAGGAAACTCTCCCCGACACGCCTGCACAACCCCCAGCCTGTGGGACTGGTGTATCAGAGCCCCTACAACAGGGACAACCAGGTAATATTACGTGTCGACATGTATAGATCATAACAGAACAAAACTTTTCGAATAGGACGAAAACGAAAGTACATTGCTTCAATGAAGGTTAGACATACCGTCATACGCAAGGAATTTCACTGACGAAAAATAGCTAGTGGCTGCTACTTCAAACGTCTGACGGTTTCCAAAAGTTATCCAGTTGCTTGAGTAACAATTCCTTGTGCATTGGCACAATGGTAAATGGCATTGCCATGGGATGCTTTCGTAGAATTTTCACCTTGTAACGAAAAAGATATTCGTTCTGTAATGTCAAGCGATGATACAACGTCAACGAGCGATGTTCCTATAGCAATCTCGTTCTCTCATGTTCATCTTCAGACATTTGGCATCTGGGAACCGGACCTACCGCTGTGCAGAAGCCGTTTCCCTGACATGTTCAGACATCTAGGTAAAATCTCTACTTGAAATTTACCTGTTTTTCTTTCTTCTCGAGCACACATTCTTCGAGGGCCAATGAGATTTTCTCCGCTATCTTTTTTGTTTTGCCATTTCCATTTTGTCTATGCCTTATAGGAAACTTTGTTCTTCAGGTCTGACGAATTTTTCCACTGGACGCTGCCACACTTTCACTGTGCCCAAGTTTGAAAAAGGTGATCCTTGAATTTCAACAATTGCTTGATCTGAAAGCCTGTATGGTTGGGCTTTACTCGTACTAAGTTTTCTTGGGTTCGTAGAAGTAAAACGTCTTGTATCGCGCCATGATTTGACGAAAAAGTAGCGATAGGACTTTGCTTGTCGTTTGTTTTTCGAATTCGCCACTCTTATTTCATACTTTCTTTGTCTTTGAAAAGAACTTTCTCTTGTTAACCAACTTCCCTGAAATCCAGGCGGAGCTCCGGACATCAATCACTCCCTTGACTCCACATACCGGCAGAAGTTCCAGTGGCCGCGCACGCCCGATCCCAGGTTCAGGGCCGGGGAGAAGACAACCCGCTTCGGAAACAGACCCGACGACGGCCCGGCCAGAGGTGTAGGTGGGTGCTAACTCTTGTGTTTGAAGGCATGGCTGTTTCTTGTTCTTTTCTGAGGTGGTAGATACTAGTACTTAGTAGTTCAGTTGGTATGTACGTAGCGACGTCCACTGTAGGTTTATTTTCATTTTCGCGAGACGCTAGCACCGCTTTCATACAATAGCCCTAGTTTAGTACATTGTTTGTCTGGGCAAAAAATGCATACAAGACCTTCATGTTTTGTCGTTTCCTTAATTCCCCAGTTCCCAGGATGGGTTTGCCGCCCATCGCCACCAAGATCACGTTACAGAGTCGGCCTCCTTCCAGAGTCTCCTCCCGGGCAGGCGCCACGTCTCCCAAGAAATGCCCGAAGTCCCCAACAAAAGCCCCGCCATCTTCAAGGAAGGCATCCACAGAAGATACCACAGTGCAGTAACATATCAACGTACTCTTTTCAGATTAATAAACATGCCGCATTAAACCACTGCCACTGGCACTGCTGAGTCTTTGCATTACTGGGCTGAATAGTACTAGTATGTTTCTATATCTGAGTCTATGAAAGGTAACAGCAGAGTAAAATCGTAAAGCGTTGCTCGTAGACTGTAACACCTTTGGTATAGGATGGGATTACATTTCAGCACTAAGGACAATGTAGTATAGCAGTGGTGGGAAGGTTCGATGTTTTTTTCAGCACCAAGGACAGTACTAACTACTACATTTCAATGCGCACAACTACATTGTATGTACTGCACCCCGGATGGAAGGATAGGATATATTTCAGCACTAAGGACAGGGCCTACAGACTAAAGACAATGTACTGTTGCAGTGGTGGCAGGCTTCGATGTTTTTTCCAGCACACAGAACAGTACTAACTACTACATTTCAATGCACACAACTACATGTATGAACTGCACCATGGATGAAAGGATATATTTCAGCACTAAGGACAGGGCCCAAGGACTAAGGACAATGTACTGTAGCAGTGGTGAAAGGCTTTGATGTTTTTTCAGCACCAAGGACAGGGCCATGTTTTGGGGATATAACCATATACATGTACTTGTAGTAGGTGTAGCAGAGGAAGAAAAATATCGAAGACCTTTAACATTATGGATGGCTTTTATTGTAAAATTTACAAATAACTTTAGGTAACACCTTCTGTAGACATAAAAGGCAATGCATGTCAGCACAGCAGGGTCTGGCTTTTACACAATTTCATGTCCTATCTCTTTACAGGGAATCCATAGAAATCCCTTATTTACAAAACATTACAGAACAGAAATATATACACAAGAACAAGGGATGAGCAATACACAAATGTAGAAAATAGAGGGAAAATATTCTATAATAACAATAAAAATGTAGGAAACTTAAAGGAATCTAGAAATGAAATTCGTATGATACAGCTTTTGGCACTTTGTGCTTAAGAATCACTATGCTATATTCTATCAAAACATAAAACTGTTTGCAAACATATTATACATGTATGTAAATGCTGACCACCTTAGCTATCATACAGAAAGTATCTATGCAATTAACATAATCACTTTTCTTGTCTCTCCTTTCATGAACATACATGTACGTCAAACAAATGTCTACTAGACTTTGTACTGGATGTTGCTTTTGGTATGCAATCTAAACAGAAAACCACCCATCAAATGTTGGTAAAACTCGCAGAGATTTCACCTTATAATATAGATTCACTTCCCTTTTTGACTACCAACAACTGGCAAGTTTGAATGCATTTTGGACATAGTTTGCAAATATTGAAACAGGTCATGTTTTGTCAATGCATTACAGGGCTTGCTGTCTGAACTTATCTAAAGCTTACTTCCCTGCATCTTTCAAGAACATTTCTACCATGACACATGGTATGAAAGACACTGAGTGACAAAAACATAGTCAACACATTTGCTTGCAGGCTCTCTGCTACATATGAACACTTTTGATGCACTGTCCATGAAGATTTTAACTACAGGTTTGTATGGATGAACACATGGCAAAACTGATGCATAACTAACAGCCACAAGTTATTCTACTAACTGTGGAACACATCTTCACTTGTTACAGTGTTTGTTATAAGTGCTGTTTGCTATGGTGTCAAAATCTGTTGACTAGTCTTATCTATACTCTTAACACAGCCAGAGGACAATTGTTCAATGGTAACATCCCTTACTTTAGTGTTGCTATCTACATACACTAGCCTGGGATGTAACACAAGATGTGATTGGCTACAGGTATGGCAGCAAAATGTCTTCCAGAATGTCAGATGGGAACTAGCAAGAACTTACTCCCTTTGGTACAGGGTTTAACTTTGTTCATCTCAAACACATTTCTCCTGAACATAGCACATGCAAACAAAAATATGAAGGTGTGTCATTGGACTGTGTACTTTTCATCTGTGTTTGTATACGAAAATTAAGAAATGAAAAACACTGCAGCCAGTGGTTTATGCCAGAACATTATGTACCTTGACTTATTGTTCCCATAGACTGTGTTCCATCTTGGAAGAGCATGTCATGTCTTAAGTTTGTTTTTCCTGTCTTGAAATATTTCACACTTTAACTACAGTGATGATATCTACAGCATGGAAGACAAAGAACGCTTCTTTGTTCAACTTGTTTCATCTTCCAAGACAACTGTCATGGCACTCTCTCTAAAGTTCCCGTTTCAAAACCGCATTTTCCTTCACTGCTGCCCATGACAAGCAGCTTCTCTATCAATTCCAGTTCTCAAATTGTGGCTGTTTCCCTTTCTTTTTTTTCTGTTCCTCTGTTTCTCTTCAGCCTAACACCTCCTCTAGCCCGGAGAACACCAGGGCTTACGAATCATTTACAAAATTTACACTATTCCTTTCTGCTTTCTGCCTTGTCTGAAAGGCTGTCTTTTCAATCAAAATCAAGACATTTCATCTCAAAGTGTGAGGAAGCAAATGCCAGCATTTCATAATCCCTGTCACACAGATGTTTCTAGAGAAAGGAACATCTTGCATTGTAGTTTATATTCTGTATAGTAGTCCAGTAGTTACACTGGGTATGAAGTTATGCATGAGGCCTGTTTGTAATGCCCCAGATGTTAACACTGTGGCCCTTTGAGTGGGCTCACATTCAACTTTTTTCAAAGATATAATCTCCAGACCAGAGAGAGATCTGGTGATAATAGTAGACCAGTTTTTGTTCTGTATTTCATCTATTTCTCATTGTGACAAAATGACATACATACAAATGTATACTGATACCATGAATGGATGGATGGCTTGCTTTACCAGACTTCTTTCTTATGCTGGTCCCAACAAAAGACAGGAATCGACAGAATGGCAAGTTGCTAAGAAGAGAAAACTCAATCATTTAGTTGCTCAGTTGCCATGAGGTGTATAAAAACAGGTTATATCTGCCACTGGCTGTGTGAATAAACTTCCATACTATGACCTGTATGAAACAGCCATTAAGTCTTTCTCTCTCGGCCTAGCCTGGGTGCCATCCTCCGTAGTTACCACCAGCTCCCTATTGTTGCTGGCAATCATGGAGCCAGCGGTAACTACAGAGGATGGCACCCAGGCTACTCTTGGCGTTCTAACTGTTTGCCTCTCCCTTTTTCATTTGTAGGACAAGAAAGGCAAAGGGAGACCATGTCCCTGCGAGTCATGTTCATCTCTATATGATCTATATGACTTTATATAAAAAGTTAGCCATTACAAGAGGCTATCTTCTTGTAATGACAGTGTCCACTTGACTCCAAATTTTTGCACTCCACTGAACTGACATTCATCCATGGGGAAATATCAGCAGCCTGTGCCGTCAGTACCACGCCCCTCTGTTTCAGTGTTACATTCCAATTCCAAAGCACTGGACAACACTGGATGATTCCATACCAGAATCAAGGGGGTGTTTTGATTGAAGTTACAAAGTGGTAGATGATACAATAAATATGGGATGAGATGGTTTGTAAATAAGATTTTTACACTGAATGGTTCAACTGGAGGACTCTGCAGGTGGTGGTTCCTTTGGCTCGGGCTTCCGCCGCACGCCGCGAGGTTTGATCTCCAGCGACATCTGCCACAGGGCCTCCTCTGACAGGTACTCGTCAAAGTTGTTGAAGAACGTCTGGATCTTCTCATTTCTCTTGAAGTCGTAATGCCTGAGGGGAAGGAACAGGTCTCATTATGGCACAGAACAAAGAGAGATGCATAAAACTTATGTTGGTTTTTAGACTTGTCAGCAGATAATTGTTGCATCTTTTTCTTTAAAAACTTCTAGTTACTCCCCGCCAAACCTTAAAAATACTCTTAAACTTTTTTTTAAACTGCAGGAATGGCAACAGTATGCCTCGGACTGCAATGTCTAACTTGTAATGTCTCTCTGATTTCTATGGGACATAAGAACATACATGTATAAGCATTTCTGTAATAGAATAAGTCACAGTTTAGTTAAGTGTTCATCCTTTTCAAGGTGATGCCATAAGTTCCTGTTTTGCATGACCAAGACAGTTAGAATAGACCAGAAAAGCGTACGCTGAAGACTTACACTTGTTTGAACCTGCGCACATTGTCCAGGATGTTAAACTGCTGCCAGCGCTTGGCGAAATTGATGACTCCGTCCTCCAGCATGTCGGGGTTGCCCAGGTGAACAAACGTGATGTCCTGCAGGATAAGCCCTCTGTAACAACACAGGACAGAACATCAGGGGTGTGGAGAATACGTACTCACTAAACTGAGAACGTCAGCAGAACATACTGCACCTGCACGAAACCCTGATTTTTCATGGTTTTTGATGGATGTTTGGTCAACGTTGCATAATAATTTTGCATGTTGCAGAAGATATATTTTCTGACATAACATTTGGAAACTAAAGATGGGATGTTAAGTTTATATGCGCAGATACAATCTACATTTGCATATATCTATACATAGATCAGTGCAGGTTAGGTGCAGGTAGATATCAGAAATACCTGCACTAACCTGCATATGCAGGTGGTACTTCCAACCCTGCAACTTAACCATACAACAGCTTAAGCAAAAGACTAACCAAGAGCATTTATAAATACTCCCTGGAACAAACATAACAAGCAACTGACAAAGTCTGCAGACTTACAGGTAAGGTATACAGGGTGGTTCTGCCTCAGCCAGAGCTGCCCGGTACGCCCGGAATGACGAGGTGCTGTCTATCAACGTGCAGTACTCTGCCAGACCCTGGGATACATATAAAAGATAGCAATGTTCAACAGTTGTACACAATGCTATTGAGTTTCTTGTAGATGGTGAACAATGTACCCAAATGACTGGACACAAGAGCAGTGATAGAGAAAGCTCAATGCTCAATTTTGTGAAGTCTCTTTGATTCTTAACATCAGAGGAAAAACTCTAGCACTCACATCGACATCCAGGTAATGAGATACATCAGGAAATTGTTACTCAAGCAAGTGGATAAATTTTTTTTGCACTTAAAATTTCACAAGCTCCCATTAAAATTTTTCCTGGTACGTCTTTAAAAAGAACAATCTTCTACATGTTGTAAACAAGATAAGTTGTCAGCAGCAGTCATTTTTTTTTACAGAAATGTACATAAGAAGATTTTTCCTCACGTCTGTGGTTTGCTTCTGCCACTCCAGTCTCCGTATGGGGGCAGAGTCCAGCGCTGAGAGGATAGCCAGGTACGAGTTGAAGTTGTTAAACCGACGAAGGTGCTAGAAGGGAAGTAAACATATATTCATTGTAGTTGTAACGACATTGTAGCCTAGCCTACATTACCTTTTGTGTCAGGTTTGGCTGCAGCATGCAACGTTAACAAGAAATTTCCTGCTTGCACCATAAAACTACATGTAAGCTAGTCACCCACTAACACTACCTATTTTAGCATTTGACACCAAATTTATATTGGTTATGGGGTAAGGCAGCAGGGAGGAGCTTAATATATCAACTGGCAGCTGAGTTCTGAGTCACTCTAAGCAGTTCCTATGAACATAACTGTTCTGTAGCTGTTACCTTCATGATTTTGATGAATCTGTTGACCAGTTTCTCTCTCTCCTGGGCCTTGGGTTGTGTGAGGATACAAGACCGACACCTGGGGTACAGAGAAACAAGATACGCAGTACCAGCGTGGCATCCAGGCCTTACACAAGCACAACGTAACCAGCTGGAGAGAATCCAACGCCGTGCCGTCAGAACCATCCTTGGCAAAAAATACACAAACTATGCTGACGCCTGTCTCCTACTTGGCCTCGAGACTTTGGAACGACGGCGAGACCACCTCTGCTTGACTTTTGCCAAAAAACTCTTACAATCTCCCGACTACCGGCATTGGTTCCCTCCCCGCCGTGGGGAAATCAGTGGACGTACAACACGGTCCAGTAACCAGATTGACTGTTTTAGAACAAGAACCGAACGCTTTAGAAACAGCGCACTACCATACATGGTTAAGTTACTGAATAACTCTGAAACGGCAATGTAAGAGTAATCTGTTGCTAATGTTGTACAACAGCCTTTTTTTACTGCGTAACGTTTAACATGTATATTGACTATAAATCCATTTTCTAAAGCAGAGGAATATTTTACGATTTATAAATTTTAACAATATTTAATAATATGTAATAAGTTTTTAACAATAATACCCATATTTTAATGACATTTTGTGACCTCGGAGCAATTCAGGCAGCCAGTATGGCTGCCTGCGAGTCTGTTGTCAATGTGATGGTAATTGAAATTGTGTATGTTTCCAATTTGAAATAAACCATTCTAAAATACGTCAATGATGACATTCAAATTATGATCCTAGATGCAACAAGTCTTCTCTGAAAACGACACTAAACTGTTGTCTACACTGCAATTCAATGTCACTTTCTGTTGTAACAAACAGGGATTCATTATTATTAATAAACATGCTGAAACCTTCCTATGCTTTAAATACACATCACATCTTTTCCTTCAAGTTTTAAAACAAAGTGTCCCTCAAAATTTACATTGGTGTGTCTTGAATTGAACTGTCTCACCAGTAAGACATCTTGTTGAAGTGCTCCGTGAATGTGGTAAGGTTCGGACTAAGCTCCTCCGACTGCTCCTTGGCCCAGGCCAGGATCTCAGGAATCTCAATCTTCTGGAAGGCCTCGGCGTCGAGTAGTGTCATCTGTTCTGCCAACTCCTCCCCCTTAAAGTCAAACAAACTGGCACGCCTAGAAGGGCAAAGAAACAATTATATTTTCTGAAATAACTGTTGCATGCGTGATAACACTAAGAGATACATGTAGTACTGATAAATTGGACAAAAAAAAACACACGAAGACATTAGATTTATCATAAGTAAAGCATACGTAAGAATAACAACAACACTATTGATTCTGAAAGGAAAACTTTTTCTGAGGTAAACATGTTATGTTTTTTTGCACATTACTGTCAGAAAGACAGTGGATTCATCATAAGTAAAAGCATAATTAACCTAAGCTAATTCTTACAAATACCAATCAATTCTGAAAGGAAAAATCACTTTTTAGGGGTAAAATGTTATATTTTTTGTACATTGAAGTGAATGACAAGTACATGGCTTAGAATTCCAAGCATGTTTTGACTTACTTGACAGACACACTGAGTGCAGACAGTGGTGAGAAATTGTTGTTGAGGGCCAGCTGTTTTCTCTGGTCACATTTGTTCAGCATCTTGTTCCTCAGTAGCTTAGCCAGAACCAACTCCCCGTCACACAGCAGCTTAAACACCAGGTCCATCAGGATCTGGATTATCTCTTCCGTCAGCTCACCAATACTGTACACAAAATAAAACAAACATCGTAAATCTCCCTTTCAAGTACAACTGTAAATCTTTAAACATTCGCAATGGTTTTCAGTGCTTGAAATACTGCAAACAAGAACACAAACACCATTTTCATTCTCCAGGGCTCGAAATATGGATGCAGGTATTTCTAATAGCTGCCTGCACCCAACCTGCACTGGTCCATGTCCATGTACTAGGTTCATACATGTATATACATGTAGCTGTATGTTGATTTTTATTTGCGGCATTGACCACAAATTCATGGCACCATAACTATGCATTTCACATGACTACTGTACTACAGAATTATTTCAACTCAAAACATGGAACACTGTGAAAATAAATGAATTTACTGTTACTGTAGTTCTGCATATCCTATACAAACAGCCTCCAGGATAAATTCAACCAAGTACCATGCTTGTAATGCTTATATAATAAGAACCAGAAGTTTTTGTCAAAAAAGGTTACTCACCATAACTCATCAACCACTCTGACCAACAAGAAGAAGGCATTCCGACTGGCTCTTTTTCTGGTGTTGTCGGACATGTGGCGAAACTTGTTATATGTGGGATCAGTTAAGAAGAATATAGTAACACATCACCTTTCACATCATGTACATGCACTAATTTTACTCACAGACTTTTGATCCTTTTTATGTTCTTAATTTCATTATCTCCATGAAAAATGCAGATACTGTTTTTTATCCTTGGTACTGTTTTTGTATGGAATGCTATGGGTGGCAAATAGCCTTTCATATCAAGAAAAAGTGAGGTTTGGTCCCCCTACCAGATTGTTCTACAACTGCAGGGACATGTTTGGTAAAGTGTTACTGACAAACTTGGTTGAAAGGATATCTGTAGAGCAGCTTGTCAATCAGGCTCTTGGGTGTGATGAAGGTTCTGTAGGTCGTCAGGAATGCTTCATAGAACATCAGGTCTGAGTGAAAATAGAACAAACCGTGAGAAACAAACAGGGAGAAAAGGGAATGAAAGGCAGTCAATTCTGTAGTATAAATGGCCCCAAATTGTAGCTTGGGTGCCATCCGATCAACCAAACCGGAAGCAAGCTGTGGGAACAGATGTCAACTAACCAGGATAGTACCTGAACTAAAGGACTTAAGTTAACATTATAACAGTAACATTTGTGGAGTTTTTGAAATACACAAAATGCTATTCTTCAGTGTCCTACTTCCGTGTCCTACTTCTATACAGCACATGATCTCACCATTTTTGTCAGCTCCAGTAGCGTGCACTATCAGTACATCCATGGACCCCCCACGGAGATCAGGCCCATCTTCTCCCTGATGAAAAAATCATGAAAAAATTATTAAAAGTCAAATTTATCAAGAGGTAGATGGTAGAATGTAACTTTATATAATGGCTCCATTACACAGATTGCAACATATGAGTAAACAACAACAGAACATAATTATAGGCAATCAAGGATAAGATAAAATACATATCTTTAAAGTTGTGATAACTGTTGCAACATTACATACTCAACATTCGCTTAATATATAGAAACATTCACTTTGGGAAGGTACCCATTTGAAATATACAAAATGCTCCAGTTCTGTGTCCTACTGTACAGTGAAAACAATGACAAAATGGTGCACTATGTAACTCCACCAGGCAATGCAGCTTGTAGTGAGAAACCTTTGAATATGTCATGAGCATTATGGCAATGGATGCAAAGAAATCCTGGGAAATAAAAGCTGAAATGTGGCCCCACATGCTGAAATGTGAGCTTACATGCTAAGAGATGCCACACACTTAAATCTCTGATACAAAAAAACTTCACACCAACAGTTTAACACATTGTACAAATCAGCTTTAATGCCCTTCACTGTGATAATCACAATGCTCCACCACGTTTTACAAACCTATCCTGGCACCACAAGGCAAACACAGCAACAGAAAGTCACACCGTGAAGCCGCCAACACTCCACACAGCAGCACAGGCACAACAAGCCCAAGCCAGGTGAAACAAAAGCACAGTCCTGCTATGAGTGGGAATGGTGAGTTGTACTAACTTTTGTTTTTGGCATCGTGTGGTATTTCCTGGGGTAACCCACCTCTTTCTTGAAAACTAACTTGTCGGACACGTCCAGAGCGTCCAGTGTGCTGGGTTTGGTGGCGGTGTCTCCTTTGCTCTCCTTTTCTTCAGGTGTACTTGGTCTGTCCTCCAAACTGAAAAGACAAGAATTCACAGAGCTAAGTCACAGGTAAAGCTCACAGGTAAAGCCTTAATGTCTGCTTTAGTTTAGTGATGAGGATTTTAACCATGGTCAATATTGACAGAAGGAGGCCATACATAAGTCACTGACCTGACGCTTGTCATCAGCATGTAAGAAACTTCATAACACGTTTCAGATTGATGACTTTTCATCTTACCACTTATGATGTATGGGTTTGAAGTTTTGGAGATGTTAACTTTGAATTTCTCACAGAAAAAAATACTAGTAGCAGACAACAGTAGGCAGAAAATGGGGTCTCTTTGTTTGAGATTGTTCCTTATCTATGTAACAAAGGCAGTTTTGTACCTAGTACTTGTTGGAGAGGGTTCTATGAGGCTGATGGACTTGTCTCTGGAGGGGGTCTCGTACATGGAAGGGGAGGGGATGGAAGGTGACGTGTAGTGTCGTCTGTTATCCTTGTCCTGAAACACAGGTCGGAAAAAGAACACTTTGTGAGCAAAACAAATCCATCTGGAACAAAGACGTCTACTGTATACACTCTCTAATACGATGTAGTATTCCTGTAATGTGTAGTTGTTGCAATAAAATATTGGCAACACCTTATTCTTTGTGATAGAGGCACAGTATTCAAGATTTTTTATGGACATTCTTTTTACTTGACATATCAACTTCCTAAGCAGCATAATTTCCTTTACAAATTTCCTTCAGAAAAAAGAAAATTCAGAGACAGTTCATCCCCAACACAGAGTTGCTGAGGGTGAAACATGCTACAGTTAGTTACCTGGTACTTACCAAATGTTTTCTTTTCGGGGGAAGGGCCGGGGCTTCTACTGGTACATCTCCAGCTTCTGGCGTTAAGTGGGAAAATCTGAAGATGTTTCCGGCAGAGTTATAACTTCCGGAGGGTTGTTCTGTGTTGTATTGCACATTGTCGTAGGGGGAAGTCTCCATACAGGGGCTCAGGTTATCGTAAGGAGACATTTCAAGTCCATTGTACCCGGGGCCCTGGTGGGCCGAGTAGAAGAAGTTTGGGCTGGGCTCAGAGTAGTCTCCGAACATGTGGATGTACGCTTGAACTGTGGAGAGAATAATCACAATGGATAATAAATTCAGTAAAGGTACTATACGTGTTCAAACTGTTGTACCTCAGAACAGAGTAAATTTTACCAAGCAGGTTTTTTTCAATGAAATACTAGTAGTGTTTCTTTTTTTATGTTTTACACCTTGCATCAAATTAAGAGATAAAATGCTTAAAAAACAATGCAAAACTCTATAAGTGATTGTCTACATTCAAAAAGAATGAACTATAACTTAACTATAACATCATTTTAAAAAAAATCAACTGTTAAAGTCTGACTGAGAGAACTGGTCTGAATAAACTGATATCCTAGTCCTTACATGTACTAGTACATTAAGAATCTCTTTAATTGAGCAGTTATTGTTATGAATCTATACAACAAAGCACAGCAGTGTCAAGCTTTGTTCACAACAAAAACAAACTCCTAGTAACTCAAGTACAAGTCAAGTACAGCAACTATTTCTTAGGCAGCCTTGATTACTTGTATGTTTCACTAAAAGCAAACATCTCCACACACAAGAAACTCCACAACAACCTAACTAGACTCCATGTTTTACGCAAGCCGAACAACCTAAGTACAAGGTGAAGCAAACACATGAACCCCAACTTACTGTGCTTCTTTTTCATTGGTAGCGGTGGCGGAACATCTGGGTCAGGTGACCTGCTACCACACTGAGCATTCTGGGAAGACATAGGCTGCAACAAGGCATGCTGGGAAACGCCACTCATATGAGCATGCGGACTACCAACGTGATGCGAGAACGGGCCGTCAAACGAGCTGTCCTGTAACAGGTTATCGTAACTGCCATGCGGAGTAGTGTGCTTTCGCAATTTTTTCGGCAACTTGGGCGGAGAGTCTGTGTTTGCGGCCCCCGTTGCAGTGTCAAGAGTGTTAGCGGGGCTCCGCTCTCCGCCGAACAGAGAGTCGTGGCTGGCCACGCTGCCTCGCGATCGGTTAGTGGAAGCGGAGTCTGTGGAGTCACTGTCATGCAGACTGGAGCGGTTGGAGGTGTTACCGGGGGGGTCGGGGGAGGCGGCCTGCAGCATCCCGTCCGTGCTGCTGGTCTCACTGCCCTCCAACATGTACTGGTCGTTGATCAGGTCATAGTCGGGCTCTGGAAATACAGGTGGCAACAATCCCGAAAATAATTTCATCAGAAAAACATAGGATACAGGAATTTTCTTCCTATACAACTGGTAATGTTCAGTGCCTGTCAGACACCTTCTGCAGAGCTTCTGGCTAGAGTATTGCTTCTTGTTGCTTTACGTAGCCAATGTAGTTTTCACTTTTGCCACGAGAACACAATCGTGGCTGAAGCGCCACCTATGTTGGCTACATATTGCATCCAAAAGCAGTACACATGTACTTCAGTCAGATAAACTGTTCAATACACATTACAAAATAAAATACACATTTACAATACACATTCTACATAAAAAGCACGAGATAACATTTTCAGGAGTTATTTCCTCTTTTACTTTTAACAACTACCACCATGTATTTTATAGAAGGTAGGAAACCTTTCCTAGACCTACCTGAAAAATTGAGCGTGTCCATGGAGTGTCTGAAGCTGCCACTGCTGACACTGCTGGCTGACCCGCTGGGGAGGTCCACTACGTACCCTGAGGGGGACGTCCCATACGGTAACTCCCCCTGTGCAGGGTACGTGAAGACGGAGTTGGAATATCCCGATGTTGATGCGGGGGACGGCGTACTCGGCGTGATGTTGAAGGGTGGTACCACGTTGGTGGGGGGGTAGCCCGCGCCGTTGGAGGGCGTCCGCGAGATGGGCTGTACCACTGCGAACTTGCGATGGGGGGACTTCTGGTAGTCGCCGGGCATGGAGTGCGTTCTCTGCGCCGGCTTGGTCATCTTGGGGGGCAGAGCTGGTGGCATCTTCATGAAGGGTGGACTGGAGTTCCTGTGTCTATTGGAGCCGAACATCAAGTCAGTACAGTGTCAGTCAGTACATAAATATCCAATGACTTTTAACTTTGCCACTCTCAACTACAGGACATTGAGTACTAACAATTTGTTGCGTTGTTGTATCTATACGTCAATGAAGGTTAGACATCCATGTAATGAGATACAGTCACTGACAAAAAGTAGTGGATGCTACTTAAAATGTCTGACAGTTTTCAAAACCTGTCTAGTTGTTTGAGTAACAATTTCCTTGTGTTATACATGTATCTATAGTATGTTGGGGGTTAACTAATAGCCTTTGTACAAATCTACAACTAATAGGAATGCTCCTAATCATCTCTCAAGATGTAAGGATGCCTACAATAATCATCTTAGTTCTTGTAGGGCTTTGTTAATGTATGCACCTGCTGGCCTTTGCCACCACTGTTCTGAATGAGGCTAGAAAACCTTTATGACACCTGGCAACTTAAGATAACTGACCTGTCCACATTGATTAAGATCCTGTCTCGTGGTAAGGCCGGTTTGGGTGGTGGATCATCGCCTGAAGCTTCTGATGAGCTGGTGGACATCAGGCTCTCTGTGGACCTGGCGATAGGCGAGGTCTGCTGAACTATCTCCTTCTCACGAGGGCTCAGCGGGATCTCTCCTAGGGAGGACCTGTGGCCATTGGGACTGGGGAAAGGAAAATGTACACAGGTAAGGCATCAACCATACAGACATCCCAAGTTTTGATTACAGCATCCTCCTTTGAACTCTTGAAAAGCTATTATTAGTGCTAAGGCCAAATAGTGTACGTTTGTACATTTTCAAAGTTAAAATAAAGGTAGAAAAAAACAGGTACAGTAACACCTGCCCAAGAACAGAACATTACTAATGCTAAGAGGTCGCTGCAGGTTTTGGATTCTCATCCCCAAAACCCATTTGCAATGTGGTTCAATGAGTTACCTTATTTCCTCCTACTTAGTGACATTCCCAGATTTCCTGCCAAAAGGGCCATCATGATGAGGTTATTTTTTTACTTCAGGATGAGTCATACACTGTAGGAGCTCCTACACACTGCCATTGTACTGACCTCATAGCCTTGGTAGGGGAGACTTCTGTTGTAGACCTGGAGCGTGGCATGGACTTGTCCTGTAATCTCTCGATAGACAACTGTACCAGTTCCTGGGGTGGGGCAACATTGGAAATTCAGTATCAGATCCAAATCACTTAATGATTCAATTTTAATGGCTATACATCCTTTTATAGATTTTACCATTTAAAAATAACTTCTGAAAACTGCCTTCCCTTACCCTTTACTTTCACATAGAAGAACAGTTACTTACATTTAAATATGTACTTTGATAACCTCTCTATACAAGTCTCTGAATACGTGACAGAAAAATCACCGTTGACAAATCCTAACACTCCCATTTCATTTCCACATCCCATCTTCAGCTTGCATTCTCTTGTCCTTTCAATTGTTTTCCCTAGAACTATTGTAAAGTGGAACACCAAGTATAGTAGGGGCATCATCACTAGATAGCTTCTAACAATGTTACATGTGACAGGTTGTTTGGTGCCTGCGAAGCCTGTGTGTTACGCCAATGGGTTATAGTGGCTATACAGATACAGATCAAATTCTTGGTAGAAAAAAAACAGCTACAGTGACATATTTTACCTTGACTCCGTCCACCACGGCATGGATGACCTCGTTGGCGGCCTCCTTGTTGGAGATCTCTCCCTCCTCCAGCAGCACCTGGTCAGACCAGCGGATCAGGTTGGCCAGGCTCTGGTACACTTGGTTATGGCACGACATGATCACAGAACTGTGGGGGAAAACATTTATACTGTTAACATTTATGTTCATTTGTTCATGGCATTACAATCATAATCATATGACTGGGCAAAGAAACAAGTTGGCTTTTCCTTACACTGTCCATATCTCTCTAACCAGATACCTTTGACCCAGTGTTGACGTCACACTTCAGAGAAGCTATGTGACAAGTTTCACTAGGTCAGTATGTTGAAGAACTTCAAGAAGATCAGAGTGACTGGTAGAAAGCTCTAGGTAAGAACAGTCTCTTGCATTGGATCAAAAGTTTTAGCTTCACAGAGACATCTTTTTATCTTTTGAGAGTTACCCCGGTATGAAACCTGAAGAGGAAAACCAGTTCTTGAAAAATAGGTGAAATGATAAGAAGTAAATAAGAAGAGAACTTCGAACACTACAGAAACAAGCAAAAGCCATAGATCTATAGGGAAGTATCCCTACCTCTGTTCCTTGATGAGACATGAGTTGAGCGTGCTGTACAGCTCCATGACAGTCTGCAGCACCTCGCTGGCCGTGGCAGGCACGTTCTCCAGGATGTTCTTATCCACCACGGCCTCCAGGTACGTCAGGGCGTTGATCACCACCTTCTGGGACAGGTGCAACTTGTCCACGTCCTGGAAAAAAGGGAGAAAAGTCGCATCAGCTTAGGCAAAAACCAATTTACTGTAATTGTAGGCAGCAGCAAAAGTTATCGGTCTGAGAAAAATGGACATCGGACATGTTCACGGACCAATATGTTTGCAGTGGCAGCAGGTGCAGCAAATACTTTATTATTACTATGCAATGATTTTTGAAACAACATGAGAGAAGGTAGTTAAGGCCTGTCAAATGACTGTCAAACCTCAACTACACATGTATTTCTAGGCATGCTCTACGAGCAAAGGAAATGTGCTGAGTGCAATAGCACAGGAAACACAAACTACATAAAAGTACATCAAAACCTTTCAATTTGACTACCACGGCCATGCTATTGACCTACAAGTTAGAGAAGCTGACAACAGCTGGTTACCAGGTTTATACCCCCTGAGGTCAATGTTACCTCACGATAAAGTGCTTCTTTAGTCTCCTGAACAAGGGAGTAAAGAACGATCATATTTACACAGGTTTTTACTTTATTTATGCAACCCTTTGGCATAACCTGCACCGCAACTTGCCCCTGGGACGTGTTTGTATAGATGTTAACTTTGTTATGTGAAAGTCTGAGCCCACTGTTAGCTTTGGCAACATCACCCGGCTAGCAGAAGTTCAGAGTTCGACACCGCATCTTCAAAGTGGGGCTTTGAAGTAGAATCCTATAATGGCTACGCCTATAACAAGCCAGCTGAGATGGTTCAAGGCTGCCCCAGTGTTTATGCTAACAGTCTGTAGCACCTTGTGTGGGACTGGGTCAACATGTACTCCCCAGGGCACACAGGGCTGTCTGGAACTTACATGTGGGCCCGCCAATTTACATCAAAGCTTGCACATGCAATATAAGAACTGCTATGGACTATAAGAAATTATGAAGGATAGCCTAGAAATATCAAGCTATATAAGGGAGGAAGAAATTTCCCCTTGACCTTGTTATTGGATTTCCTGCTTCAGGTGGACAGTAACATAAATATAGAAGGCACTTAGGACAATGTAGTCACTGTCTTACTAGTTAGTGTCTACAATGTCTTGCATTTGGAGAATCACCTACAGCTGAGTCACCTTGGGCTGTTAAAGGAGGAAGAAATTTCTCTTGGCCTTGTTCTTGGATTTCCTACTTTAGTTGGACAGCAACATAAATAAAGAAGGCACTTGGGGCAGTGTAGTCATTGTCTATAATGTCTTGGGTTTGGAACATCGCTATAGCTGAGTCACCTTGAGCTGTTAATTTTCCTAGAAATATCAACCTATGAAAAGGAGTTAGAAATTTACTCTTGGCCTTGTTCTTGGATTTCCTGCTTTGGGTGGACACAGTAACATAAATAAAGAAGGCACTTGGGACAGTGCAGTCATCGTCTAGAATGTCTTGGGTTTGGAACATCACTTTCTACAGCTGAGTCACCTTGGACTGTTCACTTGCCAAGGTCATGAATGGTCTCTTCCTTTCCTGGTTCTGGTACCATCTTGTGTAATGACTAATGATGCATGAATATTCTATTTTTGGGCTGATCCCTTTCGAAAACTCTAACAGGAACAGATAAGAAAACCTATGATATGGTACTCTAGTTTGGGCTTGTTCCGAGCTTTGGTTTTTTTATCGTTCTGTGCATGACAACAAGTCAGCAGAGCTGTTTCCTCACTGTGTATCCTGTTCCTGTTGGGGGAAACCACAGCTAGAAGACCTCATGTTTACAAAGACAGGCAAGGGAAGACACCCTGAGAGGTCTAAATGCCAAACATTTGGCTCCAGATGAGAACTCTAGTCACAAATACTTGGACAGACACAACCAACTTGGAGTTGGAAATGCTAGGAAAATCTCGAGGGGGTGTTATCTTACTAGGAAACTGAGATTTCCTGCAAAACATCTGTATATTTTGGCATCTTCTAGCAGAGAAAGCAGAAATCTTCCTCTAGTCCTAAACCTGCTGAAGCATTTACAAAATCCCATGACTAGAAAACATAAAGGTCAAGATTGACACTGCAGAAAATGATATGTACTGATATGATCATGGTAAACAAAACCAATTTTATAATAGGAATTTTCCAGTTAGCTGTTTTTTCTCTTATAAAATATAGTTATCACAACAAAATATGCCATGCTATGTAGTTGATTTAACCTATGCGAACACCAGGTTACCAAAATGTTCAGTGTCAGGTTTGACATCAGGGAGACATCATGTACCAGCCTCGGGGGACTCCTAAAGTTTGGTTTGGAAACATTCAAACATCCAACAGTTACCCCGCAAAACAACAAGAGAAGGGGAAACAGAATGGACTGTATTTAGGATGGAAGCATGCCCTAAAGCTTTTAGACATGACATCTAACAAACAAACACAGGTACAATCTGTAGCATCTGACTCCACTGGGCCCTGTCTGTAGATGGTATCAGTAGGAACAGACTTTCTGCACTCAGAAGTTGGAACTGAGAAGTTGGCACTTATCCATGCTGTCTCATGCATGTTGACTGTTACTTCCATTTCTGTTTAATGCTCTCCTGATTCATCAGACAAAGTGCTTATTTGGATAGTAGTACCACGAAACAGCAAAGGCGATTACTGTAGATGATGTAATAGAGCAAGGGCCCTTAGGGCCTGAAGCTTTATACAGGTCTTAAGTTTTGTTGTTGACCTAGTATATGTGCTGCCACCCATGCTACTCACTGTAAAAACAACAAGGTTTTAGTGTATCTCTTAAAATCTTTTAACCACACTCATGGTTCAGATTACTAGTATACATAGCAGGGATGGATAAGAGCTTGAGAAAAGTATGGTACTAAGTTTCAGGATGGTAGCAGAAATGTAGCTTATCGGATTATGTAAATCGAAACTGAGAAAAAGGATGTAAGATCTAAGCTAATCTGACTTTGCTCAGGGCCAGAAGGAAGGGAAAGCTGACACATGATCCAACAGTCCTGTAACCTTCATTACCTCCCATCACTCTGCATTACAACTCCTATAATCACCTACAGGACCTTTTCCTGAACAACAACAACAACATAACACAAGACCTGGCTTGAAATGGACAGCCTGCCCAGTCTGTAGGCTACCAAACTCTTCTCGATCAACATGAAGAGTTATTTGCTGCTGTCGGTCTCGCTGGGGGAGCAGCTACAACACCTTATCACCTACAGGACCTTTAGTAAGTTTTACAGAATAACAACATAACAAAACACAAGACCTGGCTTGAAATGGACAGCCTGGCCAGTCTGTAGGCCACCAGACTCTTCTCGGCCAACATGAAGAGTTGTTTGCTGCTGTCCGTCTCGCTGGGTGAGCAGCCCACCGAGCGTCTCCTGTATTGGGTCTGCACGTCCCGCTGAAGCTCCATGAAGGGGTCCGACCCCCTCCCACTCCTTCTCCTCCTGGTGAAGGTCCTAGTGCCTGGGCCGCTGGCAGGTTGTGGAAACTTACTCCAGAACTCCATGGTGGAACATCTCACCACTGACAGAAAATGGCAGGCTCCTGATAGTCCACTCTGAGAGGAGGAAGTGGGAAGCTCTCTCTCTCTTCTTTGAAAACTATAAATGTACTTCCTGCTGACCTCTGACCTTCAATCAGGCGAGAATTAGTACCCTTCCTGTCAGGACTCCTCCAGTCCATGCAAAGTGGAGAAAAATGCAGGTTTCAATTATGTAACTACTACATATGTATTGGTGGGGGAGGGGAGGGGCCCTGTTTGGTTAGACTTGATGGAGACCATGTGTTTACAGTGGGCACAACTAATACATCTGCTTGGTTGCTTTTGAAAGTTTCAAAGCCAAATACACCGACACTGTAAAACCTGAATTTTATTTATCCAAAATGTAATGTGCATTGATGAAGATTACTTGGGCTTGATCATGGGGATTTAAGAGAGAGTTAGTACAAAAAGTTGTGAGGAAAGTCAATATAAGCACACTTTGACAGCAGGGTTTTGTTGAAGTTATTTCTTTGCTTCCGCCATCTAAAATTCACATTTTTTCCAGCAGCATATTCATAATTTTGTTTACCTCTGTCAAAATCGTGTCATGATTTAATCTGTCACTGTGGAGGTACATAGGCTTATGATTAAACAAACAAACAAAAACCAAACACATATTCGGATTGATGTGAAGCTTCTATGATAATTGATATGCTCCATTTTCCACTTTTTTATCCTCAAATGTATGATATTCAATGACGCAATATACCTACATATTTATTATTTTCTGACTAAAAGATTCATACCATACATAAAACCACACACAAAGCATATTAAGTTCCCACCCATTAAACCTGACATCACATACAGCCAGTATGTTTAATTTTCACAGAACAAGGGCAGTCTTTAGCTGGGGCCCTCATGTGGTTTTGAGGTCAGGAAACCAGAAAATCCAAGGATAACATGGGACAGGGACAGAAATCAGGACCAGATGGGGTCTCAGGGGAACCCAAAACTAAATGGTGAGGGAGGGTATGTAGTAGGTTTACAAAACACCTGACTGAGATGAGAAACCTCCCTTTCCACAATTGAGAACCATTGAGAGGAAATCTCTACTAAGATACATAGATAGCATAATTAAAAGTGAGGAAGAAAAGCAATTGTTTAAATGAGTCTAAATGCAACATGGAATCTTAACATGGGCCTGTGCAAGATGTCAGCCTCATACACTAATCACGTGATAATAGCCTGTACACTGTAGGCATTCCTGAACCCATCATGATCTGTTTGGACCAGATTCAGGGCTGAACAGGGCTGGACCTCAGGCTGATGAAGGATTCCTGGAAATCTCCTTTGTTTGACCGCAAACCTATTTGTCATAAATATCAATATAGATATATATTCCTACCTTACAGAAAAACTCTAGCGTACTACTATACCTTCCTGTTACAAATACTACAAATAGGATCTATAGATGAAAGGCATGAAAATATCATGAATATCATCATATCTACTCATGAAAAAGTAAGAAACAATTATTCTGTTGGTAAATAAATTTTCCTGCAAATTACAATCAAATTGTTTCTGCAGCTGGAATAATCCACACTGTGCCTATATCCTATAAAATGCAAATTTAATCAACTGCAGATGACCACACAGGGATTTCCTACATTGGAAACAGCCCTGGAAGCATGTCATGTGTCTGTGTGAGAGTGTGTGTATGTGTGGGGGGATGTGCTGTAAGAGGGGGGAGGTGACAGGCGGGCTTGTTAGTACAAGTGGATATTCAGGGCCTCCTGAGTAGAGTCTGGGCCATATGGAATGTTTTCTTTACTTTCATCTTGTTTACTAAAGGTGCAATACACATATTCAGCCTCCTGTGCATAACGTGGGTATTTTTCAATTCAGAAAAGAGAGCACCTTACCTGTATGTAGCTCATGCAGTTATTGTTGGAGGAAACCTTTTCCCCCCAAAATTCTAATGTGGTGGTCTTATTTTCCATGATGACTGCAGAGGTTTCAATTTTTTTCAAAAGAAATGTGTATTTGCCAGGGCAGTTGCTTGCTGGCCTTTTCAGTTCTGTATCTGTATGATACCAGATAACATTTTCCACTTGTTATGATATCGTGCCCTAGACAAATAGTACTATTGCCCTAGGCAAGACCCATCCCTCTCTTTCTACCACGTTTTACCTTCCTGCTCCCCAACCGAAGTTAGGTACCCATTATACTCCTGGATGAGGAAATCCGTGTACCATATAGCCAGGAATGCCAGGGATTGAACCCTGAGACTTACTATATCACTAACTATATGTAGTTTAGCCACTTGACCATTCAACGCCATGCAACACCCACTTGTGTTATAGCAAGCACGTGTTCTGTTACTCGTACCTTCTCCACCTGTGGTTTCTGTGTCCCATCGCTGCCCTCGTCGCTGCTCTTGCGGCGGACGTGCAGCTTGCCCAGGCTGGACTGGGACTTACTGAGGGTGATCTTCCTCTGGATGGCCTCCACCCCCTTCCCCACACCACTGCGGATCTTGTTCCCCAGCGTGGACTGTTGGCCTTGGGGGGAGTCTGCAAAATACAACAACAGGACAGTAAGGATGTGTATTATACTCTGTTAACCTCGGACTAGATCAGACCTAAGGACAAAGCATGACACTTTTTCATTAGCTACAGTACTGCAGTGTGCCCTTGCACATTTCAGCCAAGTAACCTTAAGTGTCTTGGGTTCTTTTACATACGTATCTGTTTTAGTAGTTGTTGAATTAGTTACTGTTTACATCATTAATATTTCAATCATCATGTAAGGGCAATGGAAGAGCTTCTCAATAAACAAATTTATCATAGTGGCTATACATGTATGTTATATTGTTATGTCATGTTAGGTATAGCTTTGGTATGTTGGATGATCACAATTTCTATGTGAACCTACTTACAGTCATTCTTCAATATCAACATTTATCTTTTATCCCATGTAGCCAACATCATCTGACATTTACAATTCATGGAAACAATAACAATCGCATCCTTGAAATTGTGATTCGTAACATTTGTGACTTTGACCACACGGACAAACTAAATGTGACACCTCCACGAGCTAGACAACATATCTTTCTAAAGACAAAACATTGATGAGTAGAAAAATATCATATTTTCAATCTGTACCTGTATCTTTAAACCTCAGTGCTGCTACCCACCGCATGCTCTCTTCAGCCCCGTGTTACCTCCCCCTACCAGTGAATATTCACGACTGCCTACCACTTGTGCCCACAGCTCCCATATATAAACACCATGTCCTCATCCTCCTAATTATGGACCCATCCATGACTCATGTTTACTGACATCAGCTAAGTGGCATTAATCTTACGGCACCCTGACAGCTGGGTCAGGGATTGGCCAGTCTCTGCCCTTCACATATATAAGGTTATATCATTACCCTATAGAAAATACAATGTGTTTGACAAAAAATAGTATTTTGAACAGATTTCATTGTGTTATGTTTGTATATACATGTACATGAATAGATGACAACAAAATACAACCATGAGCATTTGGTTCAGGGTCTGTGTACATTCTGCCCTTCATATACAGTACTGTACACAAGGTTACATTTATCCTGTAGAAAACATATAACTTGTGTGAAACTAAAATAACAGATTGAATGGTTTTATTGGATTGTATTTGCACATAGATTGAGGACAATATAGAATGTTTTGCAGTCCAGGTTAGGGTTCGTAAGCTTTTTGCCCTTCACATACATAAGGCTATTATACTTTGCCAAAAGTACAACTTGAATGTTTAAAGCTGCACAGTATTCAAGTGTTTCATCAACATTTCACTTATGATAAAGCCTTCTAAAACCTTCAGATGGATGTTATTTTTAGTTTGATAAACATCTTTTTAATGGCTGGATAGCTGCCACCAAAAAATTAAATTATGCTTAGTAATAATCCTATGGGAGCTTCAGCCCAACACCAGAGTTGCACTGGGTACTTTTAATGAGTTATTTGCATGTATTACCTATAAAAAATATGATGACACGTCTGTACATAAATATCATGGGAGTTGTGGTAATAAAATTTTCTTTTAATGTATGATAAAATGAGTCATATAGCAGTGATGCAATACAGAATAAAAGCAATCCCAATGAACTGCCCTTTTCTAGAACTGATACTGATAGGCCAAACAAACAACGGTAAAGATGTGATTATACAAAGATATTGAATGCATTCAAAAGGTTCCTTCACAGTGTTTTAACAATCCTGTAGTGCAGTAGTCATACAAGGAAAACTTATTTGCAGTGTCATGAATTTGGTGTGGAGGGGTCAATGCAAAAACTGAACATAAAACCACAGAGAAAATTTCACTATTTACAGTATAGTTCATTTCCTTGTATCAAGCCTTACATGTATTTAGTTTTGTCACTCTGTCTACCCAACAGGGTTGAATACCAGGCAATATCGCTTACACACCCTTGTACAAATTGAATACCTTGATCGATGTGTCATTAAGTCCGACATGAACCAATTTTCAGCTCAGTAGGTTTTCCTAATAACGACAAGGCTTGAAGTGTCCATACAACAAGATAAGTGGACCTGATCTGGGCTCAAAATATCCACCTGCAATTTGCAAAAAAAGACTGTTCCAGATTGCAGGGACAAATGAAGAAAAATAATGATTTCAAGCACTGCCAATGCATAACTATGTAGGTCTAACTTAAGGAATATCCCACAATACTGTAAATCTTGTAATGTTTGATGTGGTTTTATTTGCCAGGTTTTTGTGGTGACTGCCAAATGAATTATGACACTGTGAACATGTGTTTTGTATTTTCCCTATATTTTTTCAACTGTGAACTGCGAACACAATAAAAACCTCCTTTTACCTCCTGAAAATAACAGATTCTACAGTATCCAGAAACCTGGCTGAGAGACAAAAGGTGGTAATGGTGTCAGTATGTCATCAAGCAAGGTATTGTCAACCTTCCCTGAATTATTTAGAACTACAATATACCTGTCATGGGGACATCAGTGAAGGATGGTCACCTGTGCTCTTGCTTATTGAATTTTCTCACCTTCTGCCACATGGGGCAACTTGAAGTCAGTACTGGTTTTATGTGTACTTTTTCTATTTTGTATACATCTTCAAATTTGAAATAGCATTCTTGTGGCAGTGCACTTTGCAGCAACCAGTAGTAACAAAGTTCAATTCTATATGACCTAAAGAAATCAACTGAGACCTGTCAAAAATTGTTGAGAAAATACTTGTTTTTGTGCTTAAAGAACTTCATATTTTTAATTTAAATGAAGCAAGGTAACATTTTAGGGCACGTGTCATGACCTATGGTAACCCCAAGCTGTTGGCCAGTCTACGATGGCAATGTAACAAGTTTGTGTCCCTTCGTAATGTAAACACGGTAATTATTTTGGTCCTTGGTTGACAAAAATAGCCCTTACTGGACAAAACCTTGACATCAATCGGTTTGGCATGGCCAAAGCAATTTCATGTGCTATCAAGGTACGATTTACGGACAAAATGTACACATTGCCTTTTCTATCAGACTTTACAGTTCAGTGAACTAATCGTACTTACACTGTGGCTAGAATCTGAGGAAGAATATCATTCCCACACATGTAAACTATCTACCGTCCATGTTGTTTTTAAAAACTACCCCATGCAAGGTTTATTCCAAGTGGGGCTTCTTGCTTCTTGAAGTGGAAAAAACCCATTACTCAGGCTAATTGCATAGGAATGACCCATGGCAGGCAGCAATATTGCACCTCTCCATATTTGGCACCCAATAATAAACATCCCACCAGGTGGCCATTGAATATAGACACCTCCTTTCTTGGCTGATTGTCAGGGAAATTTTGACTTGGGAATGAATACACATCCTAGCAAGCCAATTCTTGGTTATCATTGAAACTATGAAAGTCAGGAAAAGAATAGGAGAATGATAACGTATGTACATGTATGTCACTTTGTGGCACTAAATTTGTGCGTTCCAACTACCTACCTTTTGAAGGTGACAATAAAGGTTACACAGTATTTACAACTTATCAACATATTGTAGAATGACCTTTATGATGATAGTTGTTGTGGCATATGACACGTATGCACAAATAAGGCCAGGTAAGGGTCATTGTGGAAACTTCCACACAATTTAACAATACTAACATTACATCAATGAGGATGATAACATACACTTTGCGCCAGTGAATTTTGGATGGATATAACGTCCTTGTGATAACCAAGACATTTCCAGGTATTTGATACAGAAGTTGATAAATCAGACCCATACAGTAATATCCAAACAATACATTTATAAAACCTAGTACTTTCTGTACTTTGTAAAATGCTGGCAGCATTAAAATAAAATGAACAGAATAAAACACGACAATGAAAATATACATATATGCATTGAACTTTCATCTAAAGCAGTTTGCAGACAGCCAGTAGACAGCCAGTCCAATGATAATATGATACTAGTCTGAGGGCAGCAATGGTAGACAGTGTCACACAGATGGCATCACAGCAAGAAAGATGAGGACAGTAACCTCTGTACACTACCAAATACATGAGGACTGTGCCTATAGGCACTACTGGCAGTGGAATAAATATGTGCTATTTAAAACTATAGTAGCATTCATGGCCGTACTGATGAGACTGTGGTACATTATGACTTTTGATTGACAAGAGAGCAATAGAGCAATAAACAGCAGGGAGCAATAAACAATGACTGTCAAGTGCTTAGGTCAGCCGAGCTGTTTACATTCCAGCAGAATGAATAATGGTCCGAAAGCAGCCCGGTCATCACATTGGTCACTTTCCCAAAGTTGACCACAAGTGTCCAGTTCAGTCACACATCATTCCTCAACCAACAGACAAACAGAGAAAGTGCATCCATGCCCCTCCCCCCTCGTAAAACGTATAGGACGTCTTGTTCTGCACACATGTACAGCTAGGGATGGGAAAACATTGCACATGCTAGGAATGTACACAGAAACTCTCCGACCTTTCTGATGCACGCACACGGCGTGTGGCACGGACGGGCAGCGATACTTACAGCAGTCCAAGCTATAGTAGTCCGGGTCGTTTGCAACACAAAACCACGACATTTTCACTCCCTAAGGTCCAATGTGCGGCTAAAAATACTGGTATCTCCGCTCAACCTATGTCAGCTATGAGTTATGGCTTGGGTGAATCCACGAAAGGGGCGTCCGTCACATTTGAATTGCATGCCAGAGGGAAGGCACTGCAGCACTATGCCCTGTACATAATTGCTTGTGAATCTATAGTGAGCAGAAATTACTCAGCACCCCCGAAAAATCAATCCCTGGCCATTCCATATGTGGGAATGGGAACACGGGTGAAAAACGGGGGATATTCTGGAGCATGAGGTGGGATTGGGCGGTGTATGAGCCACTCCGGTCCAGTGTCGGAGCCAGGGTGCATAACTCCGCATACCGCTGACATTCTAGCCGCTGAGCACTGCGCTATTTTGAGGAGTCTCTGCTCTGTATATGGGAGAGGGGTTAGTCATGTTTTTCTACCATGAACTGTACACAACA